GCTTAAACACGGCCCCAAACGCTACGACCAGATTCAACAGTTTTCCTCAATAACAGGTTTCACCGCACAAAACTGGATTTTGGAGGGTAGCACACTAAAAAAAAATTATTCCCAGTAAAGGACGATAGAGATTGCTGAGATACTAATCGCTAGTTTTAGGGATGAATATGAGTTCTTAGATATTGCTATTTTGTGATATGATAGCATTGACATATATGAATGTAATTATTATTACAAACACTATTATTTATATTTTTTTAAAATAGATTAAAGTTAATTTGCTATATTTATCATGTATTTTGACCTCATCAGATTGATTTCATTTTCTACACAACATAACGTATAATATATTATCATGGTACATCCAGAAAACCATTTTTATTATATGAACATTAGACCTATTTATAAATCCCCTGCTATTTATAAATAGGTCTATTGATTGAATATCTTAAAATAGTACAATTGTAAAATCTAATAGTGTCATTATCGACTCATCAAATTTTTATATATGCTCAAGAGTTAATAATAGGCTAAAACGAGTTTTCAGTGAAATCAATTGTGCATTTCCTGAATGTTTAAAAATATAGGTATGAAAGTTATAATTCAGAATCTCCTCATCTATTATATGAATATATCTTTCATATATCCTAAAACTACTTAATTGGTAAGATAAATTGTGAATATTTTAATTAAAATATGTGTTTGTTATTATTTTAATAGTTCACAAGATATTATTGTCTAAACTTTATATATTTAAATGAATATTATTTATCAAAACTCCTTTGAAAATACGGATCAAACAAAATCATCCAATAAATGAATTTATTTCTATAATTCAAATGAAATATTATTAATTTTTCAATATATATTATGAAAGTATATTTGTTATTGCATTATATACGAATCAAGATTTGAATGATAATAAAATTTAAAAATATTCAACGCAATATAGAGATATCGCTTTATAACATCGATGCTTTGTTAACCATACTATAGATTTCATTCAAAAAAGCCAAAATTTTTATTCCAAAAAAAATATAAGAAGAATGATATGCATGATACATTTTATTGACCTATGTACTATATATAATTGAATCCACTATAATAGTGTTGTGAATATTTACTGTTTGATAAAAATCTTTAATAATCTATTAAAAAATAGGTTATAGATGTAACATATGAATGACACAATATTACTTTATATAGTAAATTATAATATGAATGTTGTTGGCTACTAATACTTCCTTTATTCATTGGAATTGAAATACTCAATATTTAAAACGAATTTTAAACAATTTATGAATGTCATACGACTTAACCTATCTACTAATCTTAGAATTTATACATAATTCATTAAAAATCAATATTTTGAATATTAAATCTTTTGAATTATGAAAAAAGACAAACATATTAAAGGTAAATATGAATAAAAACATAAAATAGTTAGCAATGATAGATGTTATTTTTCCAAAATTTTCTTGTTTTTCTAAATTTAACTACTTTTTTAACAAAATTTGGATTAATTTTTTAAATTTTGAAATATTTTTGGATTTTGAACATCAAAAGATTGCATTTCTTTTAAGAATAATGCAAATTTCTAATGAAGTGAAACATGTTTCAAGACTTTTAACACAATTTAAAAAAGAATCTCAAATATCTTCAGGAAATTCAATCTATATTTCAACGAGGATAATAGCAACATTCAAGATACACTATATCATAAAAAACAACATCATTTTGGTTCAATGAATCCTGTTAATCTGTATTAACGAATTCATTGATTAAAGAAACCAAAGACATAAGTAATAAATATTGATATCACTCAGTTTGCAAATGTCAAGTCATCACTCAATACTCACCACAAATATATTCGATTCGCTATATTTTTCATTTCATTAAAATTCAGACATTTTTTGCACTAATATCGATTACAAACAATTCTACATTACAAACCATTACAATAAATAACGAAGATACTTCATTATTCAATAATTTGCATTTTTATATTTTCAAATCTCAAATTTTAATCAAATCAAATATAAATATCATGTAAAACATCTATATTTAGGATGATGTTCCATATTACTATGGAAAGTTAATCATCAATATCGATAAAACCAAATTCCTTCGCTTACCATAAACTTCAAGACTGCTTTCATCAGACAAACAAATGCACGAGCTACTCCTAAAAAAATTCAGGTTTTAGAAATTTATTTTCAATTATAGACATTATTTCATTACCACAGTTCACTAATCGATAATTTAAGTGTTGCAAAACGCATTATACTTTCTACTATTAGATTTATGAATAAAAAATTTATATTTCTTAATTTGAACTTTTTTTTAAATCTTATAACACATAGGTCCTATTTTTCTTCACTTATACCAATACATTGCATAGTTCAAATTCGTTTTAACACCATATTATTTTTTTTCACAATATCATAGAGAAAATTGATATTTTGCAAAATAATATGAACAAATACAGCTATAGAATAATAAATTTCATTATATTATATGATTTACACAGTTTTTTGCATGATATCTTTTGAATTATAAAACAGATTAACTTATAAAACACATTCATATCATAAAAAGAACAAAATAAAGATCATATCTTGCTCAAACTATATGATTCAAATAATCAGATTATCGATAACATATATAACTAACAAGAGGATGCATGCACTCAATATAATAATACCGAAACTATGCTCTGATCAGCGGTATATTCAAATCGAGAATAAAACAAGTCCTGCCTAAAATCGAAGTCTATCGTCCTTTACTGACGTGGAATTGGTTTTTTTTGAGGATGTTTTATTGTCGTCTGGAAAAAGTGACAAAATTATTATTGTCGTCTAAAAAGGTGACAAATTATTATTGTCGTCTGGTAAAGTGACAAAATTATCATTGTCGTCTAAAAAATAGATTTTTCAAGCATGTTTCGGTACCTAAATAAAGGAAGAACATCAATTCCATCTATGTATATAGTATGCAAACACGCATGATATATGGAGTAGCTCTTTATCTGGCTAAAAATCCTATTATTTGAAAATTCGCATTGTCGTCTAAAACCGCCAGACGACAATAATAATACCCCGTTTTTTTTTGTACGTTATAAAAAAAATTGGTATACCCCCCACGAAAAAAAGCGAACATTGTTCCAAACACATTCATTCATTAAGTACTTGCTTCCCTTTCACTCAAAGCTTCTGAATTCAAAATTTATACCAAATTAAAAATATTGTTTCGAATTTACAACAATTTAAAATCAAACAGCTCGTTTGTTTCAAATACGCTACGTTCGATTATTGTAAATCTCAAAACTCACACTATGATTTTCGTTTTATTATTTACGAAATTTCAAAAAATTCTCTCCTACCTATTTTGCAATATGATTTGTATTTAGATATTACTAGATTATTGTGTTACTAAACAAATAACTTTTAATTACTTTTATAAAATATTTTTTTTTATTTATTTGAAGAATGAAGATTTACCTTCGTCAATTTGTATGCAAATTTACAATTTGATGATTTTATAAGTTTTAGGTGTTTTTGGCAGAAATAAGAATTAATATTTCATTTCCATTTGTTTTTACCAAAAATAATATGGAATATCGAATATACGCATTTTGTATAATTTATGATATGATTTTGAAGACTAAATCTCCACTTTTTAAAATTTTTTATCCTCCGAGTAAAGGTCATGAAATTTTTGGGCCTTTTTTAGGTCCTTGAAAAGCTACCTTATGCATATTAATCGAAAAAATCTATTCCTGTAAAGAAAAAAATAAGTTTTTATTAATTTGGAGGATTAGCAAATTGATAGAACTCTCAGAAAAATTTGAGGACTTTTTAATCCTCGTAGTGCACCCTTAATTGGTATTTTTATTAGACGAAAAAAGAAAGGAGATATTTAAAGTTGAATATGTCAAAAAGAGAATGTCGATTGTAGACTTCATGTTTATTGGTTTCAATATAAAATGAAAATTGGTCATAAATTGAAAATAATAAAATAAAAAATGAAAATAAATTAATAAATTCATAATCATCTGAAATTGTTTGTCGATTGATTAAAATTGGATTTTTTGTTTGGCATATTTCTGTAGAAAGATGTTTGATTTCGTTTTTGATTTCTTCGTCGTATCTGTTACTAAATATAACATTTCCTGATATTTCTTCATTATTTCTAAGATAACAATTAAAAACATTTGTTTGACCTGAATTTTGTATATAAAATGTATTAGTTCCTGAGTTATCAATAATGTTACATTCTTCAACTGTTAATATATTACAGCCATCATTGTTGATAACTTGGTCTTTTACTGAGTTATTAATGATGCTACATCGAATGATTTTTAGATAGGAAAATTTTTGATTTCTTAAACAGTATATATCTGTTGATGTGTTATTTATGATTGAATTATATGTGGAATTTGATTCTGGTTGTCCTAATTCAAATTGGTATCCACATCTTGTATTTGTTTTAAAATATGAAATATTTGTTTTTGTTAAGAATTCAATTCCACGCAAAAAGTGTATTGGTGCACCTCCAATTGTATTTGCAGAAGGTCTTGATAAAGTGCTTTCAATGAAATAATTTTTGAATGATCCACGTGATGTTTGACTAAGGCAATATTGCCCAAAGTCAGGTGCATAACAGTTGAATGAACAAATTCGGTTGTGAACAACTTCACCATTTGTAGTGTAAACTGCACCACCTTGACCTGATGGATTTGATACTCTAACAAATGTACTATCTTCAAAAAGAAATTTAGAATTTCTATTTGAATAAACTGCACGGTTGTTGAGATCTTCAAAGAAACACTCTTCAACACAGTATTTTTTGTTACTTGAGTATGGACCACTTTTAACACGTTCGCATTCTCCATCAAAATAATCGTTGAATTCTCGATGGAAAATGGCATTAAACCATTTTCATTTCAAAAAATTGTCAATTTTTTTAAATTTTTTTTTTAATTTTTAAATTTTTTACTTATGAGAAAACCTCCGGATTCGTTTAACCCTGTTGCTGTAACATTCAAGTCTATATTTGAAAAGACAGCACTTAGTTTAGTTCCCGATTTAAAACAAGAATTATCTGTTTTATCGGAAGATTTACTTTCAGAGTTCAGAACATTCCCACGGAGCAATCAAGAATATCGATCTGTTATCAAGATCCTTACGGAAACATCCAAGATCCACACACAAGGTGTTTTATCATTCTTAAAAGATTTATTTGTCACAACTATTCACCTTCGTGGTAATAAAACAGTTCCATTAGAGCACTACATATTACCAGAATACGATCCTAACAATCCAAATCACGTTTTATTCATTCGATACTACGAGTACATTTTCATGACTGATTTAATCACATCTATCTTTGTTTCTAATCCAATTATCACTGAATTTAAACATTTACAAGATCTTGGTTATCTCCTTTGCTCTATCAGCATCTCAGAACCAGTTATGTACGAAATGGTTTTACCACAATTCGCATATATCATTCACACTATCTCTAAAGTCAACTTCGACCAATTTTACGACAGCTTTTCACAACTTATTATCAACAAACCAGAACCATACTTCATTTTAGTTAAATATGTCCATCTTGTTGACGAAAATCCTAAATCATACGACTTCCTCGAGATCATTTACGACTACATGAACCATCAGATCCGTCGTAAGACTGCTACTAACCTCATGTTAGAGTCAGTTTCTACTCTTCTGCTTAAATTCATTGCACACAACCAAATCATCAACAAGTTCGAGCGCCTCGCACAACTTTCTCTTAAGATCGAAACACTGAAATACGGTGCATTGGAACTAATTTCTACAATCATGGCAAACAACCGAGTTTCATTCAGTGACAAGCTTCAATTCTATACACGTGAAGTTGTTCCTCTTCTTCAAGAAGAAACAGGCTTCAACATCGTTGTTCGAATTTTTTACATTTTATCTTTCGGCTCATACATCAATTCTAACCAGTTTCTTTCATTTTGGGTCCCCGAGACATCTGATTTCGAGTTTGTTCCTATCGAAATCACTGATTCCATCCGTAAAGAGATCATTGAAATGTCTAAACAGTTTCTTGATACTATATTCCCACACGAAGACTTCTCACAAGTACAATCTATCATCCGAAACACACTTCTTTACTTTGCATGTGCGGATTTCGATGTTTTCATCAACGAAATTGCAGATAAATTTCTTTCATGCGATGATGAACGATTCACTACATTTTTGAGTTGTGTTGGTCCTATCAATAACAACATCATCCATATTTGTCCCGAAATGATTATTAAATTTAACAATATTTTAAGTCAAATCACATATCGAAAACTCAACTCATATCTTCATAGCGATATGGTCAGCCGGTTCTTCTCTAGCAAACTTTTTGAGAAAACACAAAACGACAAAATTTCTAAAAATAATATTTTCGAAATCATGAGCAAATGGGATGTAGATACGGGGCCAATATCAGAAATAATGCGAAGATCAGATTCTTTCCAGATAAATGGCAATATCGTTCTTCCTTCTTCACATTTAATTGAAACTCTTCCTTACATCCTTACTTCCAACTCCATACAGCCAACAATGTGGACTTCCATGCTTGTTAAGCTCTCCGCCATCAACAATTCGTCAATTGCGAACCCCGCATCCGTAATTTTATTAAAACACATTGACGATCAAAAAGACAAGACAAAAATTTGTGAGAATTTGGTCGCAATGATAACGATCAAAGAAACTCCCGAAATTGTTTTTGTTTGTTTGAATTTATTACTTCATGCGGCCAAAGCATGCGATCCCTCGCAAGATAGAGCTCAGAATGATGTTTACAGTCAGATGGAGTACGTATCCTTCCTTTGTTTGGCCTCTGAATACCCTTTCATGAGAAGTATTTCCTATCAATTGCTGATTGTTCTCAATAAACTGAAAAGTAACGAAGGATTCTATTCCCACATTGAAAAGCATATCCAAGCCATTGAATCCAATGTTAAACACAACATTTTATTGCAGCAATTACCGAAAAGACCAGAAAATCACAAATATTATGTGGAAGAAATCAGTTTAGAGACAGCTTTGAACTCTCCCTACCAACATATATGGAACTACTTCCTATCAGAGTTCTCCCGAATCGTTGCTTTCATCAAATACCTCCCTATTACGGAAAAAATTTCAGATGTCCCAAAAATTTTCTTGGAATCTAAGAAGAACCACCTTACATTAGGATTGCTGGTAATATTCTTCTCAATGTCAATCGTTAAAAAGAACTTTAACAAAGAATTTTACGTTTATGAAACGAAATTATTGACAGATACGCCTGTTTCATTGGACATGAACATTCTAAAGACAATATTAGAGAGAATATACACAAGAGAAACCATTTCTTTGGCAATTGCAGTGAAACATACAAATTATACCTTAGTTCCTTTCGTTTTATCGACTTTAAAGTCCATAGCCCTTAAGAATAACCCAATAATAGCCATGACAATGGATATCATCTACAATTTACTCAAATCAATCGAAGGAATTAACAATTTAAGAGTAGAAACATACGAAGATGCCAATTACATATTGGAATCAGCAGAGAAGAACTTTAAACCACTCAAACCTTCCTCAGTTCAAAACAAAGAGCATTTAATTTTATATTATTTGCTTTGTATGCAGTTTTGGATCTTATCCAACAAGACAACCATCTCCATTAACGCTAAGAATAGATCTCTGACCTTCATTCTCGATAATTTCAAGGAAGATCATAGATTTATTTGCTATGCCGCTTCAACTCTTGTTTCTTTACTCGAAACAGGAGAAGGATTCGGCCAATTACCAGAAAATACGATCAGAAGTCTTCTCAAAATTTTAATAATTTGCGAAGAACACAATTATGACGTATTAGTACCACTTTTAGACAAAGATTTCAACGTATTCATAGAATATTACATAGAATATTGCTATACAGGTAGTCAAAGTACGAGTGATTTCTTTTTCAACGCGATTTCGGAAGTTATTGACCAAGGAAATGGGTCAAACAAGGAAGAAAACCACAAAAAGATACTATCTAACCCATATCCAATAATAGTTATTGGTTTGTACAAGCTAAAAACTGGATATTCTTTGGCAGATTCATTTTTGAGGAATTATCTCATGAAATACGCAAATGAGAAGATGGAATCAGTCATACAGCAACTCAATACAGATAACGAAAACAAAATGCCAATAATTGACATAATATTAAAATATATGCCAAAACATGGCGAAGCAATCGTACATACAGCGTTATCCATACTCCAGAAATTCATCAATTCCTGTTCTGTAAAGGTTTTCGTTGATATTATGATGCCATTTGTCTGTAATTTCCGTATTTTGCCATACCAACACTCCTGCATGAATATTCCACCGCATCTATCGCGAATGTCTCCTTATCAGTTCCTCTGCCTCTTGTTTGACGTCACTTCCCATGTGAAACCACAAGATTTCGAACATTTGACAGAAGTTTGGTCTCTTCTTATGAAAGAAGAAGAATCACGGGCCATTGTCCTTCCATTCTTATTCGAAATGAAGAATCCCGAAGTACAGATCGAGCTATTCACTGAACTTCTCCAAGAAAATCCGAAAGAAATCATAAATTCACTTTTAAAGCGACTGGAGTTCAGTTTCTACGCGTACTGTAGCTACCAGGGAGAGCGTAAGTATGACGACGAGATGTGGATCATACAAGTTATCATCAAAGCCATACAATACAAGGAAGTCTCGAGAAATCCGATCGTATTACACCATGCTTTGCTATTTCATTCATCGCATACACTTCAGTTGCTCAAGAAACTATGTAAGCAGAATAAAATAGCATACAGCAGGCGAGCTTTGAGTGATAATTCGCTGGCTTTGATTGTTGAGTCGTATTCCAATAGTTTTAAGAGCATGGGTGAGATGAAACTGATAGAGACATGGGCGTTAGAGGCAATGAGATGGGTTATTGGCAGCAAATCCTTGAAAATCGCGTCGACATCATTAGTTATTTTGAATCACATTGATTATACACCAAACAAAGAGAATTCAACAGCTTTCTTCCACGGAATATTCAGAAGTGTCGCTTATTTCCTTGGAAATTGCACTGAATTGGACCAATACACTTCGAAATTTATCAATGACACTTTTGTTTACTTTAACCGTTTCTTTTCTGGTAATGAAAAGTTGGCTTTCGATTATATCAAGTGCTTCTTCGAATTCGTTGTTATAGTCGATGCCTACTTCGATCAGATGATTCCGCTCTACGCACAGTGCAGAGAATCAAATGTGACAAAAGATGACGCTGAACAATACTTGCTGTTAGCAATCCGACCAATTTTCAATGAACTGGAAAGCGACAATAAGGCAAAATATCTTTTTAAGCACATTTTAAGAGCAAATGGTCATATTATTGATGTAAGACTTGTCGGAGCGTTACTTAAACCATTTGATGAGTGTTGTAGACTGCTTAAGGAGATAGAAAGAGATATAGATGTTCCAGATTTCAACAGATTACTTGGACATCTCAGTTTTATGTCATTGACGGCTTCTGCGGATCTGATGACAAAGATATTTGTGGCAGCTAATATTATTTTGAAGAAATACGCTGTTATTCGAGGAGATTCTAAGAATAATAAGCCAATTCCTTTGATGCCGATCAGTTCTCTCACTGATTTACTTCAGCCTGAAAAGAGGACACAACCAGTAGACATATTATCCCCGGATATCGATAAAAGAGCACTTCATATCCTTTATAAAGTTGCATTGTCGAAAGTTATGTCAATGCATGAGTCAATTGACCTTATTTTGTGTATTTCCAGCATTGAACCTTTGATTTCTACGACGAATTTCGTTGAAGATCGCGATTTTGTTGCAGAAGCAAACGGAGTCATTCAAAATCTGAACAATTTAGGAAAACGTGTCAATGAGGTCGTAAGTTTTACCGAATGCCAGGATTTGGAGTCGACATCCAACTTATTGAACCCAGAAAGTCATCCAAAAGTCCAGCCCTTCACGTCAGAGCACGAAGTACTTGAACTTATATCAAAGGAGAACAGCAAAGTCATTCCTTTGTCACCAGACAGAAAATTCTTCAAAATGGTCGCAAAATTAACTGATGTTTACACGCAATTGAAGGATGCTGTGAAAGCTAAGTTAAATGCTGATGGCCTGTACATCGAAAGAGAGTTCAAACCTTTGATTCCTCCTCAAGAAATTTTGGAAGATTTGGATTTCGAATATCTACCAATGAATTTCGATCCATTGTTCACTATTGAAGGATTCTGCAGACCAGAGAAGAGGCAACAACCTTCAAGACAAAATTATGTTCGATATGAATTTTAATTTTTTATATTTTTGTTTATATTTTATATTATTTGTTTTATATAGATTTATTATTTCATGAGATTAAAAGTTTTATATAATTATTACCCTGTTTTAGTATTAATTCCAATATTTTTTTTATTTGAGCATTTGGATTTCAAACATTATCATCAAGTGATTGCTATTTCTTTAGCATTTATATGGTCTTCATTAAAAATCCAGCTATTGATATTTAGAAAATAAGGATATATGTTGAATGAATGCGCCTCCTAATGGGTGTGTGAGTGGTCCGATTTATTGTAAGATTTAATAATAAGGTTTCTTTGATTCCCTGATTTCATACGATTTCTCACAAATTTTGAATACCTACGGATAAAAAATAATCATTTTGAAATTGTTCGACACTCACCATTGCTATTATTTTTGAAATTTATAAACATTTGGAAAGATCATCAAAATTGAATGACGATCGCATTTTTGCCATACTTGGGAAAATTTGTTATCAAAAAGAAAATGCTAATGCGCTATCCAAAGACCAAGAGCTCAATATCGATCCTTTCTACTATAATGAAATCCAAGACTCTAGAAAAGGTACGAAGTGCTACAAAAGTTAGAATTACTCCATATAAAACGGAATTACCTGATGCAGATTTAGGAGATTTTGATACAAAAGCATATGAGAAGTGTCATTTCAAAAGAACTAGAAATATTTCTCTTCCATCTTTGCCGCCAATCCCCAGTCCATCAGATAAAACATTCAATTCAATATTACTAAGGAAAATTCAGCTATGTGAAACATTATGTGATTATTCAAATCCAAGAAATGATTCATTTGCAAAGAAGTTAAAAAAAGAACATTAACAGAAATTAACAAATTTTTATCTGTAATGGGTGTTATGTCTTTTGTTCAAATTGAAGTCAAGATGGAACTTTTTAATATGATTTTAATTAATTTATTAAGACCAATGCAAAGACTCAAAGAAATAGAAGTGGTTAATCATGATGTCACACAGTTCAAATTAGATGATTATGAGCACCTTGAACAAATATACTCAATAATGAATTCTGTATATCATGAATTTTATAACATGCACCTTTTCACCCCAGATTTTGCAATCAAAGTGAGTCACATTCTTTATTCAAAAGATATTAATGAGAAAAACAACTGCATATCCTTTTATACAACGCTATTAACTGATCATGACTATTTTATGAGAATAATGCCATTCTTTTTGAAAATCTTATCATTTGAGTATGAAACAAACCCAATTGCTATATCAACAGTCCTTGAAATTATTAATGAATGCATTTACAAGGATATGAATTATGTAGAACTCATTTATCCATATATATTTTCTCATTTTATGCAATTATTGAAAAGAGATACTCTAATTTTCTATAATAGCTCATTATTCAGCATATTTGAGAATATACTGAATATGTACAACACTCTTTCTCCCAAAGCCTGACAATTTATTATTCAAATTTGGCCATTGACAAATCCAACAAAAGAGATCTTGATATACGATTATCTATTAAAATCGCTTGAGTTCAATAATATTCCTCAGAAAGAACTTCTGACTAGAGTGTTTTATATAATTGGGAATTGCATTAATTCTATTGGTTTTAAAATTGCTGAGAAAGCAAACAAATCTCTTGCAAAATCACCATTACTCGGGTTGTTATCGAGAAATGCTTCGCTTCTCCTACCAAATATCCTCTCAAATGTAGAAATGGCAAAAACCCATTGGTCTAACAAAGTTAGATTAGCAGCTATTGAAGCGTTTAATATTATTGGTAAATTTTCGGTAGATATCAGTCAATGGAAGAGAAATACAAAAGTAGAATTAGAAAGAAAAAGATCTAATTGGATTCTTATTGCAAGATCAGGGAATTCACTTAGCAGCCAAGATCTTACAAACGTACTTGGCGAAGTTGTTAAACTATATAAATAAAATGTAATTTTCAGTCGATAAAGGTATGAATCATATTTATAGATCATTTAATGTATTCATTAAATATTAAAAGCCCACCGTAAATGCGTTAAATATTGAACTACTAAAAAAATTGTTTATATTTGAACTTTAACAATCAATATTAGAGCCATCATTTGAATACATCGATTTAAATAGGTACTTCTTGCATTGTTCTGATATTCATCATATATAAACAATAAAAATGACATAAGGCGCCAATATCGGTGAATAAATGGAATACGGTATGCATAAATTCACGTGATTTTTGCAATGCATAGAATGCCGCTCCTATCGAGTAGCAAATACCAGCATAAAGGAACCAAAGGAGTTCTTGGGTAGCAAAGTAAGATTTGATCTTCTGATAAATCAAAATAGTACTCCAGCCCATTGTGAGGTAGACGAATCCGCCAAATACTTTATCAAAGAAGAAATATTTCGAAATAATGCCGATAATGGTAAAGGTGACTAGATATGCCAAGATTCCATATCCATATATATTTTTGGCACAAAGAAGGACACATGGTGTGAATGCGCCTGTGATCTGAATGAAAATTGAGAAATGATCGATATAGCGGAAAAATCTCTTCCAAAACAGATCACTTGCATAATGATAAACAGAGGAGTTAAGCATCATTAATGAAAATGTGATCCCGAAAATTATCAATCCGAATTTCCCAATTGGGTCATCAAATTCCCAGCGGCAATAAACGAGATAACTGGTAATTGCAATACCTACTGGAATCATGATTGCGTGCGTTATGCAATTTGCGAGTTCTTCTCTATGAGATCTATCTGGAAGTGACTTCATCCACCAAAATTTTATACGAAGTTATTTGAAATGGGCCATTCAAAATTGATAAAGGAGGATTTTTAAACAATAATGAATGAATTTATTTAGTACCTTATATTTATTTGATGAAATCCATAAAAAAAATTTTATGCTTCTTTTGAAAGGGAAACAACGATTTGACACTTAATCGATGATGAATCATATACATGGTAAATCCCATAATATATATTGGAGAATTTTATCGTTGTAGTACATAATTTTTTTTTATTTACTATCACACTTTCGGTATTCATCCCTACTAATCGCGATAATTTTAATTCCCCTTTCATCGTTTTAACGTCCATCTTCTCAATTTAAAAATCGCCTGGAATTGACTTTATTGTATTTCATTTCAATATGAATATTATCAAGTAAATTTTCTCCAAGTACAGAATGAATCGGAAAACAATAGAGTTAAATCAATTAGATCTTACCATATCATCCTTGTTTATGGCAACTTCATTCTAATTTAATAAGGCATTACACATCAAATTTAATTCAATAATTCAATTATTTAAAATGTCGACTTGCTAACTTAATTATTACATAACGAATTAACCCTTCTAGTAAGAGTTGCTATAAACAATGGGTTAAGAAAATAAGGCAAGATGCAAAAATTTCAAATACTTTTTGTTTTCACTAGCATTAACAATACACTGGCCAAACTCATTTTTAAGAAAAAGATTAAATATAAACACTTATTTTGGAAATTTCTTCTGAATAATTTTCGAAACCATCAGATATCGAGAATTTTCTGTGTAACTCGGTTAAACTTGATTACAATTGTAAGTGATAAATGATAGTCTTTCATTAAAAAGATCATTAAGAAAAAAATTTAAATTATTATGATCATAATTTCAAAATAAGCGAGAAGTGAGAGATATTCACAAATAAATTTAATTGTCATATATGTGTGCCTTCATTTTGAGATATCAAAGCCGGAATTTGTGCAAAGGCTTTAAATATAGATTTCCTACTTACTTTTTGAAACCCATTTGAGTCTATGAAAATAAATTTTCTTTTGCAAAAGGCATCGTGGATCAATTCGAGAGCAAACAAACTGTCATCGACCCTTGGACTCTCAATCTTCGGATCTGGGCTTATGATCATTCCTGCTTGCAAATATGTATCAGTAATAACTGCTGTTGCTCTGCTCTTGCAAAATTTTGTAATTTTATTATTTTTAACAATGCAGCTCGTCAAAGATAATGAATATAAATTAGAATCAATAGCTACATAATTATCTGATATCTCACAGTACATTATAATATCAAATATAAACTTTAAAGGATTAGATGTAACGGAAAGAGAATCAGTAAATAATCTTCTCCCTGAAGAGATATTTTGAAATATGCAATGCTGAATAATTGCTTCTGATGCTTCAGTTCCAGGTCTATATGCTGCTTGATCTGAACTTCTGCATTCTGTCATATTATTATTAAATAATATAATGTGTCCAAGAGCGTGTGTTGCCAAAAAATATCCTTTTGTTGGGCTCTGGCCAATATTGAAATATGATGTCATGTTACAATGATCGATTGCTGAAGTACTATTCGATACAGTGATACCGTATGCTTGACCGCTATATCCTGCATACGCTGTGTCAAAGCATGATCCATATATTGCGACATTTCCTTCTGGTCTCCAATAAAATGCGCCACCGTTATGGTTGGAAGCTGTAGAATAGCAGTATTGAAAAACGGAAATATTTATGAAAATAGACATGGTCGGTTTTGTATTCAAAAATCGAATTGCACCTTTTGGAAACAACTGACTAAATAGAGAATCTACAATCAAATAACTTTTTGTTGGTGCATCACTAAAATAGTATTTGCCTTCCCAATGATTTTTCTCTTGATAAGAATTATCTCCATTTAATTCTTCCCATGAAATGATATCAGATGATGACAGCGCTAAGGATTTATGAAGGAAGGTTTGTGGTACCAAATCATTAAACTTCATTGAGACTTCTAGGGCTTTTCAGCCCATAAAATGGGTAAAAAAAAATAGTTTCAGAAAAATTCAGGGATAGTAAATGTGATTGTTCTGTTTATCTACCTATTTATTTATATTTTCTCAGCTCCAAATCTGTTACGCCCGTAGATATCCAGACAAATAGGTTTTAAGATTGAGAGAGATAAAAGTGACATAAAAATATGAGTGTTACAAAAACAACAATTACTGCACCTTCAGACTCCTTTGAAACAGCAGCTAGCTATCTTATCAACATAGAATTGCCAGGCATTGCTAAAAAAGATGTCAATATTGACATTTCTGAAAATATTATTTCAGTTAAGGCAGAAAAGAAAGGTCCATGCAAAGACTACACAAAGATTGACAGTGGCCGTGTATACGGTTCAATCGAAAGCAGCTGGAAGGTTCCAAAAGACGGTGATGCAGAAAAGATCACTGCCGCTCTTAACGAAGGTCTTTTAACAATTACAATTCCAAAAACAAAGAAGCGTGAAATTAAGATCAACCTTGAGTAAAGTTTAAAATTTGTAATTTTTTATAATTTTCACATCATTTTTTGGTAATTGATTAAAATAAACACAATGCTGCTCCACTAGGATGTAAATTACTAAAACTATCTAGTAATCACCCAAAAAAATAGCATCTGAATTTGAAACTTTGATTTTTATATCCTTGTTGGGGTTCTAATGTAATATTGATAGGAAGTATAATCAAAGATTGACAATGCCAACATTTATCGATATTTCAATTAAGATTTATATTATCAAAGACAAAGAAGAATAATATCAAGACCAACATGTATCAAAAGATAAAAATTTTGGTTGACAGTGCTAGTAAATGCATCACAAATGTTTAGATTTGTGTAAAGATCGAATTTTTTATAAAAATTAATACTTTATTATAAATAAAACAATATACATATTACATTTCTTCATCATTAAGGAAAATCATCTTGTAATTTTCCAAAAATATTTCGATATCAGCAATTAAATCTTCATTTGTTGTATTTTGAAGGATTTCTTCAAGGACATTGATTGTATCGTTATCATCAAACGATTTCAGAATCAATTCTCCTATTTCTGCGTTAGTTGTCGCGAACATAAGGATATTTGTGAGAGCAACAACGCATTTGCTTAAGAATGAACCAGAATCTAAACTAAGAAAGTCAGAAATCACGTCAATGAAGCCCATTTCCAAGAGTTTTATAATATAATCTCTGTTTTCATGCTTAAACACAGCAGAAATTGTCTTAAGAGCTCTCTCCTTGATATTAAATGGTGCATCTTCGATGGCTGAAAAGAAAAACTTAATTGTTTCTGATTCAAATAAATATCTTGCGAAAGAAACATATAAATTGCAGAGATCTGTGCACAAATCAATGAACATCATCATTGTTTCCTCATATTTATCATGAATTACGCTGAAAAATGGTGAAAAATCCCACTTTTCGAAAAATCTTGGATCTCCTGATGTAACTAATGTCTTTACAATGATGATAATGATTCTTTCGGTATTTTTATCATTATTTTGGAAGGAATTGTAAAGAATTTCAAGTGGAAACTCTTGAATCATAAGAATTGTTGTTTCTGATGAAAGAGTTAAGCATGCGTAGGCAGCATATAGCATGTTTGCACTAAATGTTTGTACCTGATGACTAATGCTAAGGATAAAAGTTGTCAAGTCATGTAAAATCTTTTGGAAAATTTCATCTTCATTATATTGAGGGAATATTGAGAACAAAACGGTGGCAATGAGCTTAATTGCCTTATCTTTAATCTCTATATCTATTTCATCGTTCAAAAGAACTTCAAAAACTTTATTTAATAAACCAGCTTTGAAAAATGTAATTGAACCTGGAATATTAGAATTAAGTATTGAATCATAGAAAGTAAATTGCAAAACTAAATCGTTGATGATAGGAAAGGCAACAGTTTCGTAGATTTCAAAAGCTTCTTCTGTTATAAGAGGTTCGAGATTTAAATCAATGAATGATGCAAGTAGAATGAGTGAATTAATGATGTTGATGTAGCAATTGGCGTATCCTTTATTACCTAAAACTGAAATGAAAAATCCAAGGAGATTTTTCTCCATAAACATATCTAATGGCTTTTCCTTGATGGTATGAAGGCAATTCAAGAATGTTTCAATGATTTCTGAGAGTTTTGTTGAGTTATTTTCTTCATAAGTGGAAAAAAGATCATTAATCACTATTTCAAAGCTAATTTCTTCTTCTTCGTTATGTTCTACATTGTTTGGATCGCGATCGTTATCTTGTTTCTCTAAAGATTCTTTATATTCCATTCTAAAATCTTTGACAAAACATCATTAGAAAAGTGACAAAATTTTAAAAATAATAGGTCGCGATAAATTCATCGATTGGACCGAATATGAATTTTTTTATCAGTGGTCTGCTGGGGACAAAAAGTGACAATTCAATATAATATTGGAGATGCAGAATAGAGCTCCATTCATTCAATGCTTACATAGTGAAAGTGTATCATGTTTGCCAGAGATGCAATTACCATGTCATTAAATAAAAAATTTTGATCATATTATAGGAATGCATTAATCTCGGGAATATGATCTTGTGAATTTTATTCCGAGAACAACTAACATCTAATTTAGTAATTTGAGTTACTTCTTCAAGGAAATTTCTATATAGAAAAACAATAATAAAGAAATAAATAAACTAACACATAACATATCATTTAAAATAAGATGAAAATGAACAATAGCTAATATATAATAACTAAGCATTCATGTAATTAATCAAAACAAAATTTAAGGAAATGTAACAACGCGCCATCTTTGACTTGGAGATCCTTTGTATTCTCTCAATACTATTATAGAACCTTTACTTAATGAAAGAGTCAAGCACAGATCATGTACATTTCTTATTGTCCCATCAGGATCAAAGAAAAATAACTGAGAAGATGTATGTGATGGTGCTGCAAAGAATAATTTTCCTGTTTCCGGGTCTGATTCAAGTACTTTTCCAGAATAAACGCTAACAATTTTATTTTCTTTGATTACGAACTGTTGAATATTCTTTTTCTTTAATTTTTGGCATACAATATTCTTTTTGTCTGCACTTTTACTGTCGGTTGAATCTATATACAATTCCTTCCCTTCATTAAGGGTGCACACGAGAGGATCATGTAAACTTCAGAATTTAGAACCTTATTTTTGGGCATTATCTTGGCTACCTATTTAGGCTCGAAAAGCAAAAAATATCAAAAAATACAACTTGACCCCATTATGACCCTTTCATGGAGTTAGTTTTTATCCGCTAGTATTTTCCCTTTGAATCTCTTTACAATTCGAAATCAAATTCAAAACTCAGTAGAAGAAAGGAAGAATCGACTTACTACGGTTGTAATACGAATAAATACATATATTTAATTATTTTTATTTACATAATAATTGTTTGAAGCTCATATTCCATCAAATTTTTAAATAAAAACAATAAAATGTTGAAAATGTTCATATATTTTAATAGGGTTTTGGCACTTTATTGAGGAATTACTACATACATAGTCGAACTGAACTTGATATTTTGAAATTTAAATTATTTATCAAAATTAAAATTTAACTTGAAATTTATAATTATTTAGTCATATTTTGCATAATTCTAAGTAGATTTTGTAAAAAATCAAGAAAGAAAAATTTTAACGTGCTTTATTTTTTCTTTTTTATAATAATACATATTATTATATAATTAACATATTCATAATGTTTCACCCTTTCAAAAATATAATCCTCCTCTCAAATAAACGTACATACGGGTGGCCTCTTTTTTCAAAAAATTAAAATTTGAAATTTTGGGCTCAAATATTAGAGATTTTTTCAACCTTCAACGATATATGTTGTCTATATCAGACCTCCTTTCTTTTTGATACTTAACATTGTTCCTAAATCTTAGCCGTTAAGGCTGTTCTGAAAATATTTTTTTTTCGAAAAAATTCGAAAAAAATTTTTAAAATTCAAAAATCCCTTAATTCCTGAGGATTTTGGAAAAAAGTTTTTACATGAACATGTGTATATTATATGAAGTATATTGATAAGGTAAAAATCAAATTTTATTGCATATTCATCGAGAAAATAAACTAACGAATCCCTCAAAATTGAGAGGGTAATCCTCCTCCTCTCAAATAAACGTACATACAGGTGCACCCTTCATGATATAAAAAGACATTCAATGAATAAAAAAGTGACAAAAATTTAAATGGGAAAACAAATTTGTAAAATTTGCTACAACAGAATAAAGAAGCCTGTACTTTTGAACTGTGGGCATGCCTTTTGTGCTTCCTGCGTGTATGACTTCTTAAAGAAAAACACGAAATGCCCAATTTGTCAAAAACCGATCAACCCGTCAAAAATTGTTTACATATTCCCCATTTCTGAGCACCAAGAACCAGATGATGACACAAGGTTTAACTTTGCAGAGGATTTCAGGAACCTTGCAACTTTAGAACCAAATAATAAACATTTAGTAATAAATGAAGACATATTTTCTGTCAGCATATATAATGATGAAGAAACTGAAGAGCAAATTACAATACAAGACGAACAAAATCAAAACAATGATTTGCACCTTGAAACTCAAGAAATTTTTGATGATTTACCTGATCAAAACGTAAACAATGATGCAACTCTAAATGAAAATGCTACCGGAAATGAAATTAATGATACTGAAAACCAAGAAATTCCTGACCAAATAGAAAATGAAGAAAATCAACAAGATATCAGACCAAATGAGGTAACAATAGGCTTACAATATACAAATAACTATACACAACCACAACAACAAGAAAATACAGAAGTAAATGAAAAATTAAACACGACATTACAAACAGATAGGCCTAATGACCCTTCAGAAGATTGTTCCGATGATCCCCCTATACAAAATAATACTTTCCAAGATAATCAAATAAGAATTGAAATTAATGAGGCTGAAGATCGAATTGATATCATTCCTCAGCCAAATCCCCAATTTCCAAATCGTAAGCTACAGCTACAAACGCTTTTACAAGAAGAAATCAAGAAAATAATTATGCCTCAATTAAAAACTAACTACGAGCTTGTTATCGAATACTATAAAAACCAAGAAGCAACAAATGATGACGATGAAAGAAGAAAAATCGATCCGAAATTAAGCATCGAAATTATTGAAAACGGAATTAAAAATGACAAGTCCCCACGACTTCCCAAAGAAGATAACTGGATTTTGTTTATATTCCAATCAATTTTCAGTGTTTCTTTTCTTGTATCTCTTACATCTTTTGGAATGACCGGTGCTGGCCCTGCAATTTTCTATGTGATCGTCACTTTATTCAATTCTATATTCCAAATGTTAATGTAAATTGTGTTTTTGTATAAATAAAAATATTATTAAATAAAATCATCTTTTATGAGCAAAACTTTAAAGTTCTGAATGAATATAGTAATAATTCAACTACGAATCATTGAAATTATTAAAAATTAAAATTTATAAATTTTTATCTCAGACTTTTAATAGATTTTGAACATCAAAAAACGGTTTACTCTAAATTCTATATATCTTTATTACAAATTAAACAATAAAATTATTAAATTAATCGTTCTTCTTTTCGAGATCAGACTTCTTTTTCACTGGTGCATCTTGAGCTTTATCGTCATCTTGTTTTTGTTGTTTGCAGGCAGGACAAGCTTCTGGAGCGTCTGGTTGACTGATCATGTAGCCAATAACTACAAACATGCCAATAATAGATACTACATGGTACCACTTCAAAGGTATTGAGGCAGATTCTGTTAGTTTCCGAGTAAATCCGATATTATATAATTCTTGTGAAGTATTATTCAAAATTACTAACTGCATTACGCCATTAGGTGCTAAAATTAATGAGAAATTGCAATCAGTATTCGGTATTGGACCACGAGTTTTTCTGGAAGAGTCAAAATCTTTAGTAAATGTAAAATTAACAAGATTTTCTTCAATGCTATCTGAAACAGAAGAAAATGATACCATTGTTTTGTTTTCATCTAAAAATCGTGCAATAAATTTTCTGAATAAAACGTTTGAATTAGAATCTGTTACATTGTATATGCTGAAAAACACTTCGTTCCCGACATTCTTTCTATATGGTTTCATGTAAAGTGTTTTTCTCTTTTCAACATTGTTTCCATTTTGATAATAATGGTCAACATCAACATACCACTGTCCTGTCATAAATTCCTGTGGATCTAATATCGGAGGGTATGGATTTAGTCTGCTTTTGAAAGCCAGCCACTTAGAAGAAATCGCTTGAAGCATTTTTTTTTACAATTTTTTGAAATGAAAATGGTTTTATGCCATTTTCCATCAAGAATTCAACGAATATTTTAATGGAGAATGCGAACGTGTTAAAAATGGCACATACCCAGATAGCAAAAGATACTGTATTGAAGAGTGTTTCTTTGAAGATCTCAACAACCGTGCAGTTTATTCAACAAGTACTTCTAAATTTCTTTTTGAAGATAGTACATTTGTTAGTGTGTCAAACCCATCAGAGTATGGTGGTGCAGTTTACACTCAAAGTGGTGAAGTTGTTCACAACCGAATTTGTTCATTCAACTGTTTTACATCAAACTGGGGACAGTATTGCTATAGCTGTACATCATCTGGATCATTCAAGAATTATTTCATTGAAAGCACTTTATCAAGACCTTCTGCAAATACAATTGGAGGTGCACCAATACACTTTGTGTATGGAATTGAATTCTTAACAAAAACAAATATTTCATATTTTAAAACAAATACAAGATGTGGATACCAATTTGAATTAGGACAACCAGAATCAAATTCCACATATAATTCAATCATAAATAACACATCAACAGATATATACTGTTTAAGAAACTAAGTTTTTTCCACTCTAAAAATCATTCGATGTAGCATCATTAATAACTCAGTAAAAGATCAAGTTATCAACAATGATAGATGTAATCCATTAACAGTTGAAGAATGTAACATTATTGATAACTCAGGAACTAATACATTTTATATACAAAATTCAGGTCAAACAAATGTTTTTAATTGTTATCTTAGAAATAATGAAGCAACATCAGGAAATGTTATATTTAGTAACAGATACGACGAAGAAATCAAAAACGAAATCAAACATCTTTCCACGGCTCTATGCCAAGCAAAAAATCCAATTTTAATCAATCGGCAAACAATTTCAGATGATTATGAAATTATTAATTTATTTTCATTTTTTATTTTATTATTTTCAATTTATGACCAATTTTCATTTTATATTGAAACCAATAAACATGAAGTTTACAATCGACACTCTCTTTTTGACATATTCAACTTTAAATATCTCCTTTCTTTTTTCTTCAAATAAAACTAAATCTTATTTCATATTTTTCCTTGACGTAGATCATATGAAATAGCTATCAATGGAAAAACAACAATTTTTTCTTGATTTTTCTGGAGGAATAATTCAGAATGAGATATTTAACGTCATCAGAACCACTCAAATCAATTCAGAAGGTTTTTATTACTTTCACGATTAGTTATGAAATGATTTAGATTAAATTTCAGAATTTTAAGGAACATAACTTAAAACTAGTGTGAACATTCACTTAAAATGATTAAGAACTATAGTTAATAAAGATGTTTGGAGTTTTTAATGAATCCAATCAATGCTTTATAATAAAAAATCTTTGAATAAATCAATAAAAAAAAGTTTTCTTTTTATAAAATATATATATAAACATTTTCTTCTCTAATTTCTCCTTCTCTTTCTTTGTCTGTTGGACTGTTGTTGCTGCTCATTCTCCTGTTGTTCTGGTTCGTTATTCTGAGCGAATCCGTACGTGAACTGCTGCTGCATCGGAGGCTGGTTCTGGCCGACGAAAACATGTTGCATCTGAGGAGGAGCAGTTCCAAATCCGGTGAACGGAGACTGCATTCCGTAACCGAATTGTTGCTGTCCGAACTGAGGAGCGAATCCGAACTGTTGCTGTGGTTGCTGTTGTCCGAATCCGAACTGTTGTTGCTGTCCAAATCCAATCATCTCCTGCTGTTGAGGAGGATGTTGTTGGCCAAACCCAACGAATTGCTGTGTTTGTTGTGGCGGAATCTGTCCAAATCCAGTGTTCATCTGTTGGAACTGAGGCGGCATCTGCAGTGTTTGTTGTTGTGGAGGAGGAACTTGTTGTGATAACCGTGGAGGCATCTGAAGAGTCTGTGTCTGAGGAGGAGTTTGTTGTGAAATGTGTGGAGGCATCTGCAATGTTTGTGTTTGTGGAGGAATTTGCGAAATTTGTGGTGGCATTTGCAACTGTTGATTTAACTGTGGAGGCATCTGAAGTTGTTGAGTTTGTTGTGGAGGCATCTGAAGTTGTTGAGTTTGTTGTGGTTTGTAATCTTGGAACTGAGGAGGCATCTGGAACTGGTTGAAAATGTGTTTCTTTTGTTTCTTCTTTGAATGTGTTTGTTGTTGTTGATTTATCTGTGGAGGAATTTGCAATTGTTGAGGTTCTTCTATCTTTTCAATTGGTTTGAACTCAAATTCCTTCTTTTCTTCAACAATTTCTTGTATTTCAACAACTTTTTCTTCTTCTTTTGGTTCTTCTTTGACTTCTTCAGTTGTAACTGGTTGTTCTTCTGCTGCAGATTGTTTTGTGTCGATTTTAGAAATGTCATCTGCGAACAAAACGACTTTTTCGAGAGAAAACAGGTAATCTTCAACAGATTTTTCAGAAATTCCAAGAGAACTCCTCAATTTCGCGAAACTGACTAAGAAAGACTTGGCTGTTTCTCCATAAGGAGCAAACGTCGAGATCTTTCTAGAAGAAATCCATTCGTTCAAATCAGAGAACAATTTATACAACTTCATTGCATTCGGTGGGAAATCATTGATGTTCTTGACTTTCATCATGAAAACAAGTGGTAAAAATTGATCACAGTAACTCAAACAATCTGACATTGACTGGCAACCGTTTGACATGTCAGAACCGTCAAAAACTGGCAGATTTACTTCATCAAACTTCATTTGCGGCAAAGTGAATTTCTGGAAGACAAAATCAATGTCATCGGCATGACCGTTTACAATTAATTTAAGGTTAACTGTAAATGGAATTTCTTTGTCAGCAACAGTGAAAACTCCATTGATTGGTTTAGAATCTGTGTTGATTTGTTCGAGATTTATTATGAACAAAATAAAATCATCTTTGATTGTCGTGTTGATCAAGTTCTGGTCGTTTTGATTCTGGCATTTGACATTCAAATACAAAAACTGGAAAACACCGATAACCTTAATTTGTAAAATAAGGTTTTTGGCAGTTTTATTTACATTTTGACATGAAATGTAAATAAAGTTGAAATTAGGCAAAACTTTCTCTTGATCCAAAATAACTTTCGGAATAAACTTCGTCTGAACATTGAAATGCAAATTATCATATGTTTTCGGTGTCGGAATCTTTGGGATTTCAATGTTCTGCAAGTTTTGTAAGTTTTCGTCAATAACTCTCGATCTGGAATTGATCTTCTCTTTGTCTTTGTTCAAATTCTCCATTTGTGAACTCAACTCTAAAAGTTTTTTGACATTTGACTTCACTTTTCCAAAAGTGACATTTTCTGGATCGATTTCTTTCATTTTTTGGCAGAAATCTTCAGGAGAAAATGTTTTGACATTGAAAAGTGCCAAAATTTTATTCAAATTGTACTTTCCAATGAAAATGTTTTCTTCTTTAGTCTGTTTCACGAGATCCATGAGTTCGTTGTATATTTTAGTAAATGTCTTCATGTCAGTTTTTGCCGGTTCTTTGACAATTTTTGCCAATCTTATTTTGACAAATTTTGGAGAACAATTTTCGAAGACATACATTGATCTGTCCAAACCAGGCGTGAACCACATCAAATACGGGTTATTTTGGATTGGATACTTGAAGTATTTTCCTGTCTTGTTGTTCACAACCTTTAGGATTCCTTTAGAATGATATAACAACTCAAATTCATTGTAATCACCGTAATTATCACTTGCATTCTTTACCATTTCGAAGAACTCGAGTTTGTCAAGTTTTATTGAGTCGATTTCTGCAGATGGTTTCATCATGACTTGTGGAACTGTTTTGAGGATTCTTGATACATGTCCGGAATATTCAACCCATTTAGATCTGATTGTTTTGTCTTTGATTTCTTTGATCTCATGTTTGATGTCATTTTCAATGTCACTTTTTACTTGCATAACCTTATTTTGTAAATCATCAATTTTTGATTGTAATTCAACCAAAGGAGAGTTTTCTGATGTTTCTTCTTCACCCAAATAACCCTTTAGTTTGTTGAAGAAATGCAACATTGGATTTGCGACAAAAGTATTGTCAGCAATTTCGTTTTTATCAATGTTATATGTCTTCAAAACTTCGGAGAAATATCTTGGAAGATATTTGCTGTAATTCTCTTTTTCTGACCAATCTTTGATTTGCAGCAAAGAAACATTTATCAAATTCTTGTTCTTGTAGTCAGAATAATTCATCAAGAAGTATTTGTTCGAATTACTTATTGTCTTTTGACGTTGCAAGTGCATTTTAGAGAAAATCTCACGTGCTTCCAAAGCTGTTTTGATGATGTTATCAATGTTCTTGTCAACAGTTATTTGGTTGATCTGATAGTTCTCAAAATTGTTTTCTTTCAAAATTTGGATAAATAAATCTTTGCATTTCTCTGAGTAGTATTCAATCAAATTGATCTTGTTCTTCTCGTTCAAATTGGAAATATATGCTTCATCAAATAAGTTCACTTCACTTATTTGACCGTTTAATATTTCACTTTCTTGTAAACTGTCAAAAATATTCATACTTGAGAACAATCTGAAAACAATCAATCCGACAGTGAGTTTCTCCATGTTCAAGCTCTCAACGAAATAAGACAAACTTGGGTATTTCTTCATCAAAAGATAGTGAACAGGAACTTTCTTGTATTCCTTGTTTTTCAGCTCTTTGATGTCATCGAAATAGATGATTTTCTCATCATTGAATGTCTCGATTTGGTCACAGAACTTCCTAAGTTGATCAAACTCTGGAAGTGGTTTCTTGCCAATCATCTTCTTAACGTCTTTGACAAAACCGTTAAATGAAGTGAATTTTGACGGTTTGTACTTCCGAAAACCGTTTACATTTGACAAGAATGGGAACAACTTTGTGCAATGGTCGAAGAACAATGAGAAAGTCTGTTTAGGAAGAACGATTTCCTCATTCAAATCATATGTATTAATCAAATCAAACAATTGAGAAATTGACTCTGATTTGAGAGATTTGTAAGTCATTGCTGTCATGTTCAATTTCGTGAGGAGATGTCTTGGATTGAAGAGATCTGGATATGCCTCGTATACTTTGAATAATTCATCGTATGTTTGTTTCTCCAAATCATCTAAAAATTGGCACTTATCTTTCGACAAAAACTCAGAAATATTTTGAAAAGCATCTGGATAAATTTTGATCATCTCGTAAATGGCGAAGAAATCATAATTTCTGCATTTTTCAATCAACGACAAATCATGGCTGAATTTAACAAGTGGTTCCAACCATCCGATATCGAATTCAGCATTATTTATCTCATTTAATTTAACTTTCTTGAATTCTTCTGTATAACTATTTGTCACTTTTTCTTGTTGAATTTCTGACAAATTGACAAGTTTTGTCAAAATATAAGGTGGTGTTTGATTGATGTTTACGAAACCATTATCAATGAAGTACTTGATGATCTCGTAATTATTCTTCTTAGAGGAAATAATTGAATCGAAAAGTGACATGTAATAACTTGGTCGAGTGGTCATGTCACTTTTTAGAGCTTGTTGGAACTGAGTCATTACGTTGCAGTCGTAACCATCGAATTCCTTCTTGAAATCGAAATTCATGAACATCTCGTAATCACTCCATTCCTTGACTTCTTTTGCAATTGCATCGAAACTGCTGTTTTTCGCAATGACAATGAAATTATATAATTTGGTCATGTACTTGATCCAGTTATCAAGGAACATCTCGTCTTTCTTTGTCGCTAATTCAGTGAGTGTTAAACATTCATTCTGAATGGCAGACGGTTTTGGCGGTTTATGATCGTACAAAATGTAAATGAAAATTGACAAAAATTCTCTTTGATAATCATCACTTACAGTAGAAATTCTGGAATTAATAATATCCATGAATTTAGTAGATATGGATTTCTTCAAGTTCGTGTTGTTCAAAACATTGATTGTTGAGAATGCCCTGATTATGATATGTGCAACCGATAATTGCGGTTTTGCCAAAATTGAGTAAAATTCTTCTCTTGTTGGTTGTTTCAATCTCTGCAAGAAAAGATGGCTCAAAGCGTAATGGTTGTAATCAACAGGTTCTTTGAAATAGTTGTATTCATTTGGTGTTTCTATTTCAACATTCTCTTGTTGCTTTGGTTTGTAATCATTGATATTTACACGAATTAATTTTGACACTTTTTCTGGAGACAATTTTGCGTTTTGTATGAAAACATCGATGTCTTCAGGTATCTGGAGAACGATGTCTATTGGAATTGCAGTCCATATCTTTCCAATGATATCATAAACACATGTATTAAGATCATTGAATTCATTACCAAACTCATTCAATTTTTTGACAACATTTTGTTTGAACAACAAATTTGGTTGGTTCTTTAACTGTGTGTAATAATATAGTTTGTATTCGTTTTGTATCTCGTCGAGTGCTTTGTAGTCTTTGTTATAGATAGACAACATGATTTTCAACACTTCTTTCTTGGAATAATTAGAATCAGTTCTATCTTTAAATAACAAATACAAAGCAGACAAATGCATTGATTTCGCTTTTTCTATCAAATAGCAGAAATAGCTGTATTTGGAAAGAATCAACAAATAGTTGTATTCGTTTGGATTCTGTTGTACAACATTCTTACAAATGTCAGAAAACTGTTCTTTCAAAGGAAAACTCAATACAGATTTAGAATTTTCCAAAATAACTTTGTAGAATTCATATGATGTTTCATAATTATGAATTTCATTAAACCATTTGATTGTTGCATCCCATTCCGCTGATTTATAGAGTTGTGAGATTTCATCAATGAATTTCTTCTTTTGTTTCTTGAGATCTTCGACTTTCCTCTTCAATTCATTCTGGAATTTTGTGAAGAATTCTTGAATTTCCCAGTCATCTCTGAATATAGTGAAATTGAATCTCAACAATGTATCAATATCACTAGCTAATGTGATTTGTTTTGCAATCTTGCTGAGATCACTTGTCTGTAATTGGTAGCTGTACATGTAGACAATTGACACCCAATCAAAGAATTCTAAGCATGGATTTAAATCAATTCTTTTTGTCAGATATTTGAAGGCTTCTGACACGTAATGTGGCAAATCATAGTTATTTCTTGGTTCTGAACCCAAAATTGACATCAATGCGAAATAGCTTAATTCCAAAGTGAATGTCATCTTGTTATCCTGATCTTTACCTTCGTATTTAAGTATTGATTCATTGAATTCTTTGCATTTAGGTATCAAAGCATCGAATTGCCTGTTAATTGATGGATCTCTTGGTAAAGCTTTTGGATTGGAAATGATTCTAAATATAATGACAGCCAAAGTTATTTTGTCTTCAAACAAATGTGTGTTGATGATGTTCTCGTAACTGAAGAAGTGATTTCTCAGCCATTTGCCAATAGGATAGAAATCAAATTGTCTGTGTAAATATGACCAAACATCAGGTAATGGTTCATCCATTTTTACAGGAGTTTCTATTGTTTCGCAAACAAGTTTAAACCGTTTGAAACTAGAACTCTCTTGGTCTTTAACTAAAGGAGAAATAATTTCAAAGTATTGCTTGAAATTGTAAACTTTTGACAAATCAATGCTCTCAAATTTTTCAATACTTTGTAAAGCTTTGAAACCTTTTTGAGCAATTTTATGGAACAAATTGACATTTTTCGGAGGAAAGATTAGATCAGAGTCCATAGCGTAATTATCCATAAGATAGCATGCGTATTTATACCATGAATCAGGCACAGACTTGAAATTCGATCTCAATTTATCGAAATTTCCAAGCCATAACTTGTCAACGAGTAATTCAGGTTTTTCTTGATATTCCTCGTAAACTTTCATTGTCGCGTAATCTTCCAATTCACCAATTTTCGTTTGATCTCCTTTCAACAATATTGCATCAGCGAATTCCAAGTATTTCCTATCAATAACAATCAATTGGTCGAAAGCAAGAACTGGGTAATCTTTTAGATCACTTATTAATCGACAAACAAAGGAATATTTGACAATTGGTTCTATCCAATTTATTCCGGAAAGTGGACTTTTGTCATTTTCATCGTATTTGTAAAGTCCTTTTATGTCAACTTGCGGATGGTAATTAACTGATTGGTCTCTTATGTCTGTGAACTGTTTCAACAGCTTGTCATCAACGTTTTCATTGATTAGACCGTTTTGCTGGTAACGTTGTATGACTTCATAGTTATGTTGTTTGTCATTGATGATTGCAATCAGTTTTCTGTAGTTGTACTGTGGGATATTTGATAATTCTTGTTTGATCTTCTCTTGGAACTGGATGAAATCGGATGCAATGGGTGATCTCTCCGTGAAATCCATTAAAAGATACTTCTCCAAGGCTAATTTGTCTTCTGTTTTGGAGATTAACTCATTTAGATCTTTCGTTTGGTATTTCTCCATGTCTTTGTACAAGTAATCAACAAATATGTACCATTTGTCGATCTGGTCGCAGTTAACAATGACTTCGTGCCTCGAAATTTCATAAATTTTATGAGATAATTTGGAAAAGTAGGGAGATGGAGGTGGCAAATCACAGAACATGGATAAGCCCATAACTGTGTTGCAGTTTTCTGTAATGGATAATGTTCGTTCGTTTGGTTCAAATTTGACATAAGGAATGAAACCTTTTTTAGTGGCAGCGAGGGCTGGTATTGTGGTAAGGAAGTCATAGAGTTTCTTGTCGTTGATTTCTGTGTTGATATCTCCGGATTCAAGGATGTTTTTCTGGTATTGAACACGAATTAGCTTTCCTTTGATAACTGTGAAGAGTAGATTGCTGAAATCTTGACGTTTTGGATCTTTGGACTCAACAATTGCCTTGCATCCAAGCAAAGAAGGTATTTTTACGGCAAGATCGAAAATTACGTAATAAAATGATGGACTCTTGATGACAGAGTATGGATTTGAGGCAATGCGTAATGACCACTTCAAAAACTTACCGATAGTTTGGCAATTGGCAAGTTTTTGGATTGAATAGATATCAAAGTAGTAATATTTGAAATTCGCGAATAGCTCTGTGTTCATTGATAGGTAGAGAAAACACTTAGTAACGTTCTTGTAGTTGTTTGACTCTGCCAGAGATAAAACGGATAAAATTACGTTATGGATTGAATAAATATTAGTAATTTCACTGACTGGCTTCTCAGCAAGATCGGCAAAACATTCCTCGAAGTCTGATATTTGATAAGTTTTCAGACTTATGATTTTTTTCAGTAAAATCTGAAATAGGATCATATTAGTCCTACAATAGGTAACAAGATCTTTAATAATAGATTTAGTAGTTTCAATACCTCCAATTTGGGGACGCTGTGGTTGATATTTTTCGTTTTGGCCCATATTAGAGATTTTGATGTTTGTCACTTTTATGATGTGCGAATTCAACTGAATAAATGCTCATTTTTGATTGAATTTTGAGCATATTAAAAGATATGGTATTAATTGTTTAATAGCTTTAATTCCACAAGAGAAGATTGCAATTTTAACTGAAAAAATATGAGTAAATTTTATTAGATTTGATTTTGTACTAGAAAATAGTCTATCAGTTTATTGTTTGAGCATATTTAATGATTTAAGCTAGTCCAGTAGCATACTATTTAAAAAAAAATCATTTTATATAATCACATATTTCGATCGAGTCTAACAGTATTAATACATATATAGCACATGTTGTTTGTTCTTTTAAGTCTAAGATTGCTCTATTCTTTCCCATTAATGATATTAGTGTCCGGCCAAACGAAGCCCATTGTTAATGTCTAAAATATTCAAAATATAGTGTTATTTTGTTATCAATGATATCCAAAGATTTGGAAAATTGAAAATTTGAGAGCATATCACGTTTTAGCCATTTAAAACCAGAAAATCAAGATCTATATATGATACTTATCAATATTAATAAATATGTCTCTCAAAATTATTGACTGACTTGGATTCAATATAAGCATGCCCTATAGACGATAGACCACCTTCAGAAAAGTACATTTAAGGCTACTATATTGAGAACCTAAAATCAGGATAATTCATACATTTGAGTTCTAATAAGGTTGTTTTTGTGATGTTTAGCCGGTTATCTATGATGCCCAGAGATATAGAAAATTGAATTTAAATGACGATAAAATTTGATCAAAATTTATAATGCATCACAAGCAATCTGAGATATGGGAAGAGTATGGCTTTTTCGAAAAATTTGTATTAAGATATATGTATAAAATTGATCCTTTATCATTTGGTAAATGGCCAGAACGTAAATTATCAAATTTCAAAAAGAAGAACGAAGTAAGAAAAAAACATGAGTACTTTCTCTTTATTCATTTATCTTTCGCATTCGAAGAGACCTTTCCTGGTTTGTACACTAAAACACTCTGGAAAGCAAAACAATATCAATTCAGAGCTGGAACAAACATCGATTTGAGATACTATCAAGCTTTCAAAACCTATATGAAACATGTTTTCATACCACGACATAAAGGAATTTTGTCTGAAGATGAACTAAAGCGTGTCCAAGAAGATGTTGATAAAGCTAAAAGGGAAGACTTTTTGATCAGAGATCCAGACACACATGAAATGGCTCTTTACAATCTTGAAACTCTCCATAGATTGTCAATCGCTATCAGAGATGCTTGGCATCCTATTTTTGGAACTTATTATATTGGAAATGAGCCGGATCGAGTGAGTGAAATGATAGAAGATGATGATTACGAACATCTATGGTACAGAGATATTTTAGATGGGAAAATATAATGTAAAAATATTTTCTACTATTTTTTTCAGCAAAACTAAAATTCTCAGACATACGATTATTTTTGATTCAAATGCTGTTCGGCATTAAAAGCAAAAATAATCATATATCTGAGAATTACGCTTTTCCGACATTTTTGGGTCGCTTCACGCCCCTGACAAAACGTCGAAAAAGTGTAAATTTTCTGAAAACATCAAAAGAAGTCGAAAAGAATTAATATAGGCTATCTTCAACTGATTTATAGAGAAGAAAAATCCCTCACTCCAACAGTTGAAAGTTTTTCATGGAGAGAAGAATGCTTAAAGTTGTAAAATTACTATTATTGCCAATCGAAAAGAGTATTTTTCCAAAATCATTTGATCTAAATTGAGATCTTCGGAAATTTATGAATCAAAGAATCCTTAAAAAGCTATAATAGAATTATCTAAGAAATAAAATCCTTCTCATTTATATTGTCCTATTTACAGATTTTTCTTTATGTTTTCAGAACCACCTTTCTATCAAAATTGACGATTTTGATAGTAAACAAGATAAAACTAATGGTGAAAAACAACAAGAGAATAATCTCTGGAAATATATGACGGAAAGCAGGTCGATACAGAAAAACACGCATTTGTTAGTGAAATGTTGCCAAGTCAGATTAACTATTCTGAGATTGAGTATAACTATTCAGATTGAGTTAATTTATTCGTTTTGAAATTAAAGCTTAATGGAATTAGTTTCATGTATCACCGAGATTCAGATAAAAATTTTAAAAATTTTTTGTCGAAGTCTAAAAAATTTCTTTGAGAAAAAAACATAGCACACATTTGCACACATTTTGACACTTTTTCTGACAAGCATCATTCAAATTTGAAGAAAAACCTCTAAATTTCATTCAAATTTCTGTCAAAATGTGTGCAAAATTGAAATAGGCACACATTTTGACATACGATTATTTATATACGTTATTTTAATGGTTTCAGAGAAATCTTCGTTACACATTATTGAAGATTACTCAATATTTAAGTGAATGACTCACTACCACCTGTTTAGAAAAATGGTAGCATAAAATCCAAATGTCACATATATTATTTCTTATTTCATACAAATAAACTTACAATTATAACCTCAACTTGTTTGCAAAGCAGAAACTCAATATAAGCAATCGATCAGTAGTGTATTTAAAAGTCGAATTTAAATTTAAAAATTTATAATCTTATTTCGGAACCAAATAGTATAAATTTAGGACAAAAAGCTACGTGGTGTTGATAACAACTATTAAAATTCAAATATTACTACCATGAACAATACAATGGCTCATATTGATAATTGATAAACGTGCATATAAATTGCATATATCATCAATGTCATTAAGTAAAATACATGTATATAAATAGATTAGAAATATTTTTCGGTTAGAATTAAAATCTATGTAATAAAAAATAAGTTATAAAAATAAATACCGAATTTTTATTTGTAATATAAACTGCTACAATATGCTAGTGTATACAAATGTATTTGTCGTATTGATTTGAAAGATCTTCAACATGGTTCAGATCTAAATTTGAAACTCGTAAAATAAAGCGAATCTTTATTTGTAATATAAACTGCTACAATATGCTAGTGTATACAAATGTATTTGTCGTATTGATTTGAAAGATCTTCAACATGGTTCAGATCTAAATTTGAAACTCGTAAAATAAAGCGAATCTTTATTTGTAATATAAACTGCTACAATATGCTAGTGTATACAAATGTATTTGTCGTATTGATTTGAAAGATCTTCAACATGGTTCAGATCTAAATTTGAAACTCGTAAAATAAAGCGAATCTTTATTTGTAATATAAACTGCTACAATATGCTAGTGTATACAAATGTATTTGTCGTATTGATTTGAAAGATCTTCAACATGGTTCAGATCTAAATTTGAAACTCGTAAAATAAAGCGAATCTTTATTTGTAATATAAACTGCTACAATATGCTAGTGTATACAAATGTATTTGTCGTATTGATTTGAAAGATCTTCAACATGGTTCAGATCTAAATTTGAAACTCGTAAAATAAAGCGAATCTTTATTTGTAATATAAACTGCTACAATATGCTAGTGTATACAAATGTATTTGTCGTATTGATTTGAAAGATCTTCAACATGGTTCAGATCTAAATTTGAAACTCGTAAAATAAAGCGAATCTTTATTTGTAATATAAACTGCTACAATATGCTAGTGTATACAAATGTATTTGTCGTATTGATTTGAAAGATCTTCAACATGGTTCAGATCTAAATTTGAAACTCGTAAAATAAAGCGAATCTTTATTTGTAATATAAACTGCTACAATATGCTAGTGTGTACAAATGTGTTTGTACAAATGTATAACTCTTTGTCAATTGTTATGGCACCTTATAACTTAAAAATCATTTTCATTAACAAATATAAAAAGTGACAATTAATATTTTCATTAAATGCATATTTAATTATCAAAACAATGTCGATTTAGCTTGAATGTTCATTATAAATGTGTAAGTTTAGGAAAACAAAAAATAATTAATTCTCGCAAAGAAACTTATTTTAAAAGAACCTAAACAAAAGTTCATATAATAATAAATCTAAAAATAGATATTAATTTAAACGAAGATAATGAGAGAATGGGGATGTTGTAAAACAATGAGACTTAATGATCAAATAATTAAAATAATAAAATTAATTAAATAAATGCACAGGTGTTGATAAAGTTTTTGATTTATTAGATAAAATATCAAAAGAAACCATTGGAACATATAAAATTTTGTGTGATTGTGGTTTCATTATTGAAGATACCAATAATGTTTCATATGAAAGAACAGCACCGAAGGAAGACGAAGTGGAAAGGTCTATACCATTCGTTATTAAGAATATAAAAGATATGAAAACTTATAAACATTATATTTATTCATTTATTTCAGAAAAAATGGAAGCAACCCATAAAACATCTTCTCATCATTTTATAGCTATTCATACATTCCTTTTCAAAGTTGTGAAATTAAATAAGACAGGAATTAGATTTAATGTATCAGGGTACGCATTCTTGAGTAAATTAAAATGTATTCGTCACGTCGCAAATGATAAAAATTTATGTGTTCTTAATTCATTTTATGGGCTTTAAAAAATAAACTTTATTTTTATTTATTTTTTAATTTTTTATTCTTACATAAATGAACAAAAACGGAACAGCTAAAATGAATGATAATCAAAATAGAGCAGAAGGTAGAAGGTTATTTAAACGCTTCTATAACATTCCTGATGGTGTTAATCCTAAAACTCGTAGAAGTTATTTAAATGAAGCAATAGATTCATATGAAGGGTTTGACATTTCATCAGAAAGTGAGAGATTAGCGAGAATGTTAAATGTTAATATTGATTTCTATTATTGTGATCCTCAACCAGAAGACGTGGACATAAATATCAGTGGTTATTAGCTCATAATTTGCAGGAATATTATCAACCGACAAGATATTATATTACTTTTGACTTCGAAACATTAGAGACTAAAGAAGAATTACAACTTTCTGAGTGTGCAACTTTGAACGCTTACTTAAAACCATTCATGGTATCATCAACGGTTAAATTAAATGATAAAACATATACGAGGAATTTTTGCTTAACTTCGAGTGATTCTTTTATTTCTGATTGGATTGAGTTTTTATTTTCAACCTGTTCATTAGTTGCTAAATCAAATATTGAACAATATGAAGAATTAATGAAGTCGCAAACGGACCAAACGGCGGGGACTTTGTCTCATACATTAAATGAAAAACAGAAGGAAGCATTTAAAGAACTTCTAGATGAGGAATTCAATAAAGTGAATATCATAGGTTTTAATTCGGGAAAGTTTGATTTAAATTTAATTCTTCGTGATTTAAACACTGCAAAATGGAAAATAAAATCAATGCTGGGTTCATCTTCACAATTTAAGCAAATCATTGTAAAGAAAACAAACGTTCCATATGAATTGAGATTTATTGACATCAGAAATTATATAGCGGGTGGGACATTAGACCAATTCACTCAAGATTTCGGAAACAATAAATCACGTGTTAAATCCTTTTTCCCTTATCAATTCATCACATGGGAAAATTACGAAGAAGAATTATATAAAGAGGAACCATTCACGAAAGATTCATTTTATTCAGCATTAACTCAAGAAACTATATCAGATAGTGATTATCAAATATATCTCAACGATGCTAAAAATTTTAAGAATAGATTAGAATATTTTATTCATTATTGCAATAAAGATGTTGAAATTATGATTGACCCAATTGATAAAATTATTGAAGAAACATTTGTTTATAAAATTGACATGCTTCATAATCTTTCTTTATCATCGAATGCTTCAATGATTCGTTACGCTTTAGCATATAAAGACTTTAATCCTAATGAAAAATATCCTGAGGAAGAGATAGAATCAAGTTTTGAATTAACGAAAAAGTATTGGAAATATAAAATTGAATCATATAAGAAACAAGATGAAAAAGCAGAAAGGGATACTAAAAATAATGTTTCAATGGATGATTTTCAATACTATCACGATTTAATCCTTTCATCTAAATGCAAAATGTGTGGTAAAGCGTTTACATATGCAAATAAACCAACATTAGATAGAATCGATAATGAAAAACCACATACCAAAGAAAATTGTCAGTTAATGTGTTGTTATTGCAATGTCGTAAAATCAAATAAAGATGAAGATGTTCAACGTTTAAGAATCAATTTAAGAAATTACGCATTAAAAAATAATTTACCAATGACTTTAGATTCAGTTGAAGCTTATCACATTCTCCGTAATGGAATTACTGGTGGTTTATCAAATGTTCAACATAGAGTAAATCTTAAAGGAATCACGCACATTAATAAACTTTCATATAGTCCAGAAACTAAAACTGTATCAAATGAGGACACCACCAACATTATGACTCATTTCGTTGGTGTTGACTTTAATTCATTATATCCTTCATCATTTTCATCTAATCCTCATGATTTCATTCAATATACTGACCATAAAATGTATATGCCGGGAAGATTGAATGGTGTTATCATTTGTGATACAGCAACAAAGAAAGCAAAAGCACTGGGAATAATTAAGAAGAAAAATACTTTATTCGTGGCTGAAGTAAAGGGTCACATTGATGAAAAATACATTAATGATTACATAAACTTTTTACCGATAATAAGAAACTTAGATATTATCACAGATGAAAAAACAATTGGCAGTTTTATGTATAATTACATGAAATCAAACAATTTACCAGTTGACCAGAAACAGAGAAAATTAACTCAATTAGCATCAACATACAACCAATATCAACCATTTTCTTCTTATTATCTATGGTATCTAATCGACAGGTTTAATTTTATTATCGATGATATTCAATCAATTTTAACATTTACGAAAAATACTTGTTTTAATGAATTTGCGAACAAATTTATGAACGAAAGACAAAAGGCTGAATTAGAAGGAAATAAAGGAAAAAGTTTATTTTGCAAAATTTCACTTAATGGATCATATGGTTACGATGCAATGAATACACAAAATTACGCAAAGACTAAAATAATGAATGCACAGAAGGCACGCGTTGCATGTATGTCAAATAAGCTTAAAAACATAAGAGAAATAGGTGAAGATACATATCAAGTGATGCTTAAAGATAGATTTTATAGATGTGATACATGTTTACAAGAGGCATTCTTCACTTTAGATAATGCTAAATACTGGTATTTGGTTTTCATTTATGATTTTATGTATAAATGCATGAATGTTAATCGTTTTCATTTCATTGAAGGTGATACTGATTCATCTTATTGGGCAATCGCTGGCGACCCAAATCTTCCTAACACTCAAGCATTTCAAGCAATTGTTACCGATAAACAATTTTATGATAAAAACATTTTCAAATTCGCACCATTTGATTTCTTTTGTTTTGATGAGAAATTTAAACCTAAATTAAAGAATAAAGCTGAAGAAAAAGCACATGAGAAAAAATTATTGGGTTTAGCAATTGAGAAACAAGGTGATAACATGGTTGCTTTATGTCCTAAGTGTTATACATCATTCAACGGTTCAATTGATGGAAGTGATTTTAAAAAGATTGCACAAAAAATGAAGGGTGTTAGTTTAAGACAAAATAAGCAATTAACACCTAAAAAATATTTGGATATAATAAATGATAAAGTGATATTTGATGGTCAAAATATTAATTTACAACTTAAAAACGGGTCAATGACTCGCTTAACAATTGGTAAGACTGCATTAACAGGAGCACACACTAAGGCTGTATGTTGTGAAAATGGATGTTGTATGCCATTTATTTAATACAATTTAAAATTTTATTTTTAATGAAATGCCACAGAAGAGACAAAAGGAACCAAATCGATTTATACCAAATGGTTTTAACTTTCAGATTCCAAATAATCAACCACAACGAATTTTTTAAATCCCATCACAGCATCAACAGCAACAACAACCGCCACCATTTGATACCGTTTTAGAAGAAGGAACCGTTAATGATGCGATTCAATATGTAAATAATGGTTTTGATACTATGATTCAAAGAGGTGGGCACCCTTAAAACATTGATTTTATTTTTATATAAATGGATAACACAGATTTAAAAATTTTAATTGATGATTTAGTACTTAATCAAAATTTTCTTAATTATTATGAATTAAAATCATATCTCCAAAAACACAATAACTATATAACGGGTGATGATATGGAATATTATTATCCATATTATAAAAATGAAATTTTGAAATATCATAATAAAATAATTTCTGAAATTAAAGACAAAATTAAAAATAATGAATATATAAAGGGAAAAACTAAATCACAACTTAAACAGTTGAAAGATTTCAAAAATAAAGTATTAACAGAAGAAGATATTGATGAATTATATAATTTATATAATCCTGAGCCACAAAAACCAAAGCCGAGGTCTAAAGTAGCAAATGTTCAACAGCTAAAGGAACAAAACGCCCAGGTCCTTCAGACCATAAATGAAGCACAAGCTTTAATTTATGATTCATTAGTTAAACCATATTCAGCCCGACTTTTAAATGAAGATCAACTTTTGGAATTCATCCTTCAACATAAACTCGAAGCGGGAAAGTATATCAAACCTTTATATACAGCATATTTAAAACAAATGAATAGAATACATCCAGAATTAATGAAAGGAAAATCAACAACTAAAACTTCATCATCCAAAATCAAAGCGGATAAAATTAAACCACTTGCAATACCAAAACCTCCAACGACAGTACCGCCTCCTCCTTCAGTTAATCCTTCATCATTCACTTTATTATATCCATTTCAAACATTAAAGAAACAAAAAGATTTTAAAAAGGGTTTCAAGATATTAAATAAACCAACTGACCCGAAAATTCAACCGTTAAAGGAAAAATTTAGTCGCCCTTCATTTGCTCCATATCCATATTCATACGAAATCGATCATCTGGAATATTCAAAAGGAAACGTTACTTATTTATTTGCCATTAACATTAACACTAGATATTTATATTGCATTCCGGTGAAAGGGAAAACAGAACAGGAAACAAGAAGAGCTATTCAATACTTACTAGATCATGAAAGAGTAGATAATATCAGGGGTGATGGCGATAAAGGATTTCAGGCAACTATGGCTCATTATTTCCCACAAATTAATTTTTACTTCTCATCCTCTCCATATACGTTTCATAATAAAATAGTTGATGCGGTAATGAGAACTCTTAGAGATGCGTTAGGGGTTAACGGTCAGATATACTGGGATGGAAATCATGACTCCATCATACAACAGTTAGTATATTATTACAATAATACATGGCATAGAACTATAAACATGAAACCAGTGGAAATGAAAAATGATATTTCAAAAGAATAGGAATATATTAGAAAGCAAATGGAAAGGTTGAATGATGTTAAACGTGAACAAATTAATTCGGGGCTCATGAATTTTAAACAAGGGGATAAAGTTTTGATTCATCTCGATTATGGAAAAACTGATAAATCAATGACAAAAAGAAGACGAAGATTTGACACAATAGCTGAATTTGTTAGATATATTAACGGCAATGCATTAGTTGAAGTTGACAATAAATTAATAGAAATTCCGATTTATTTATTACTCCATTATATTTAAATAATATTTAATTTTTTTTATTTCGTAAGAAATGAGTGACAACAAAGCAGCCAAGAGTCCAGACAATGAATATAAAAGAAACTAAACAGAATTAAATCAAAAATATGCTATTACAAAAAGAAGCCGCAATGCGGTGGGGTTGAAAACGATAAAGAGAGAAAGAAATAATCGAAAAATTAGAAACTTACCGTTCAATCCTTAAACTGAGTGAAGCAAAAATAAAAGAATTTAATAGAATAAATAAATTGATTGGAAGAGATGAATTTAATAAAGATGAATTTTTAAACTCAATCCAAATTTAATTTTTATTCCTCTTCCCGAACCCTTCTGGGTTCTTGCATCATTTTTATCATTTCCTCCCTTGTTATGATTCGTGGTAAATTTTGAGCTTGTGGGGTATCCATTTATATAAAAATAAAATTTTGTTATCAGTTATTTTATGGTAAATGTTTTCAGGTTATTCAATAATTAATTATTTTTGAAGAACTGAAGGTGTTACCATGTTACCATGTGCTACCAGGTTAATTAACTTCTCTGAAAAAATGAGACAACATGACATTTAGACAACACAACAGGAGGAAGGCACTTATGAAGCATTTTTGAAGAACTGAAGGTGTTACCATGTTACCATGTGCTACCAGGTTAATTAACTTCTCTGAAAAAATGAGACAACATGACATTTAGACAACACAACAGGAGGAAGGCACTTATGAAGCATTTTTGAAGAACTGAAGGTGTTACCATGTTACCATGTGCTACCAGGTTAATTAACTTCTCTGAAAAAATGAGACAACATGACATTTAGACAACACAACAGGAGGAAGGCACTTATGAAGCATTTTTGAAGAACTGAAGGTGTTACCATGTTACCATGTGCTACCAGGTTAATTAACTTCTCTGAAAAAATGAGACAACATGACATTTTGACAACACAGCAAGATTAATGCAAAAATAAATTCAAATCATACTTTATAAAGCATCATTTACAGGTATTTCATCGTCAGTAAATGAATCCTCATAATCGTTTGGTTCAACCTGTTTATATAATCCTTTCATTTCTTCTTTCAAAACATAACACCATGTTTGTTTATCGTCTATTCTTCTATGTTTCCTATCACATTTATCCTTAATGCTCATTTGAAAGTTTTTGTCTTTCATGTCTGATGGTTTGCAGAATAGAGCATTTTTACACGTCATACCCGCACACAATTCATCATAATGTGTATTTATCCATACATCTAAAGGATTGTTGATAATTCAATTAAATCTTGTTTGGCTTCAGTCATCGGTATGATTCGTACATTAAATGATGAAAGGTCGTAATTGATAAAATATGTTAAAAGGTTATCATAAAATTCCTTTGTGCATGAATCCATCAAATTCTTGAAGTAATCAAATTGACCTTTGAATTTACCATTAACCCTTAAAACTACGTATCTTCTGTCTCCAACTTCAATTTTGACAGGGTAGACGTTGTTAGTTACGAAAATGAAGTTTGCAACGTTCTGTGCTGTTCTTCTGGGTTGATTCTTTTCATTAATTCTTATCTCATTATCCGTAATAATTGATTTCAAAGCGTTGAAGTTTGCGAGTCTATCTTCACCTACATTCTTGAGTTCATTAAGTACAAGAAACATTTTATTTTCAACAACTGAATTGAAATTACCCGTTAGCTCACCTATTTCAGTAATGTTTTTACATGAATAACCAGCGAGGAGTTCAGAAATAATGTCTGTAAATCTGTTTTTACCTGTTCCCTGAAGTCCTTTCAAAATAATTGCTGTTTCATTCTTGATTCCAGGATGTTGAATCATTGATGCAATCCAGCCGAGTAGGTATTTATACACTTCATCGTTATTATCACAAATGGCTTCTTTAATGAAATTCATAAACATCTCAATTTTTGAGTAATCAGGCTTTTCGAGAACGTTGTATTTATAACCTTGAAACGTTGAGAAAACATCTGGAGAATCAGATTTAAAGCAAACACCCTTAACGGTTAATGAGGATAATTGATTTAGTAGTACATCCCATGCTGTTATTGTTTTACCTTCTTCTTTAAATAATTTAATCATTTTGAGTGACTCTTTCATGTTTGATTGAAGAACGAATGATATTTGATTCATTTTATCATGAATATTATAGTCCTTTTGAATGAAATATTTATTTCCACAATCTACAAAACGGATTACACGTGATAAATCCTCAATTACTTCAGAACTGTTTTTATACTGATGATTTTCAGCTTTGCGTCTAATATCTGTTATCAAAAACGAGTCATCAAGTTTTATATCAAATGTTATTTTTGGCTTACGTAATAAAGGTAAAACATATTCATCATAATATTCCTTTTGGTATAGTTTTAGAATCTTCACTAAAACAAATGGAGAAGTCATTAAATGTGCATATCTACTACGTGCTTTTTCAAAATTACTTTTTGCATTTTCTGTTAAGCTGCAGAAGTTATAAACGTTATCGTATGCTTCATTAATTAAATGATCCGGTAACGAATTAATTGCTTGAAACAGTGTGAATAATGTAACTTCTTTTTCTAAATTCATGTTTCCACCGTCATTATGTACTTCAAAATCACTGATGCCATCAACAATGCTCTGGGCAAGTTTATCGTCAATGTTTACATCTTTGTTTTCATTCATGATAGTCTTTATTTCTTCGTTCTTCTGTTCAACTCTTACCTTAATATTCAAATCATTTAATATATCATTCACTGTTCTGGTTAATGTTGAATCGTAACTTCCACGAATGAATGAGTATGTATTGATTGGTTCTGTTGCATTCTTGCGAACTCTTGAATCAGCCATGACTACTAATGAACGCTTTGAATCAGCCATAGAAGTCATTATATCAATATCATAATCATTGCAGGAATAACATTTAATCATTCTGTTCGAGGTTGAATAGAAGAAATTAGTGTTGCAATAAATGTGAAGACCTCCTGAAGCGGTTTTAACGATAACATCTTTATCCGAAAGTTTTGATAAAATGTCTTTTCTAACTGTTTCTTTAAGTTCATCATTGTATGATTTATTGATATCAACATCTATAATCGTTAAATTTGAAATTTTATTTACTAATAAAGCCATACCAGTTTTCCTTCCTCTTCCTCCATCGTGTTTGAGGTAGTTATGTAAATCAATCTTGTTTTCACCAATTCTTTCGTTGAGGGTTTTAGTTTCTGCCACAACTAATTCCTCAGCTAATGAATCAATAACTTTTTCATCAGAAACGATATAGTTGCTGTTGTTGTTTGTTGCTGTCATTTATATAGGAATAAAAAAATAAAAATAATTTTAAAACTAACTTTATTTTTGGACTGCATCAAATTTCCAGGACTGTTGTCAAAATGTCGTGTTGTCTCATTTTTTCAGAGAAGTTAATTAACCTGGTAGCACCTTCAGTTCTTCAAAAATAATTAATTATTGAATAACCTGAAACCATTAACGTAAACATTAACGATAAAATATATTTCCAGGACTGTTGTCAAAATGTCATGTTGTCTCATTTTTTCAGAGAAGTTAATTAACCTGGTAGCACATGGTAACATGGTAGCACCTTCAGTTCTTCAAAAATAATTAATTATTGAATAACCTGAAACCATTAACGTAAACATTAACGATAAAATATATTTCCAGGACTGTTGTCAAAATGTCATGTTGTCTCATTTTTTCAGAGAAGTTAATTAACCTGGTAGCACATGGTAACATGGTAACACCTTCAGTTCTTCAAAAATAATTAATTATTGAATAACCTGAAAACATGAGACTTTGTCTCCGGACTCTTTGAGTCACTTAACGATAAAATATATTTTTGGGTCATGGGCTATGCCCCGCCACGTTGCGTCTTTATGACAAAAATAAATGGTTCATTTACTCACAATATTTTTGTACAAAACGACCCCAAGCTTTTAACTTCTTTTCTGCAGCTTCTAATGCTATCTTAGCGAGTTCATATTCTCTAAATTCTCTCTTTAAATTTTCTTGTTCCCATTGGTCTAGTTCAAATGGAGAATCTCTATAACCATAACATAACTCACGTTCATGTTCTAATTGTTTTTCGCGCATTTTTCTAACTTCTTGTTCGAACAAAGGTTTAGCATTCTCTACTGTATCTTCAAGTTCTTCTTCATCTAATTTCTCATGAACTTTCTTGTCTATGGAGTCCATAATTTTTCCAACTGCTATGCAATATTTTGGAGAAGCCCACATTGCTATATAGTTTATAAGTCTTGGGTCTACATACGTTCCTCTAACTTGTTTGATTTCATCAGGAATTCCTGCATGAATTTTGTATAAAAAGCAACCGCCGGAATTCGGACTGTTGCTATATTCTTCACAAAATGCCTTATAATACTCTTCCCAGGACTTATTTTCCAACAACTTTCTAAAGTCTTTCCTAAACTGCTGACACATATTTGTTGCATTAATGTAACCATCCTTGTCTCTACGTAAGACTTCAATACCGTTATAAGTGCCTTTTGTGAATGTTTCACCATTAGATTTGTTCGTGAATGTTTTTGCTTCGACCGACATTACTGTTCTTACATACAAAATAAAAAATAAATAAAAATAATTTTAAAACTAACTTTATTTTTGTACTGCATCAAATTTTCGTAAATGTTGTCAAAATGTCATGTTGTCTCATTTTTTCAGAGAAGTTAATTAACCTGGTAGCACATGGTAACATGGTAGCACCTTCAGTTCTTCAAAAATAATTAATTATTGAATAACCTAAACCATGAGACTTTGTCTCCGGACTCTTTGAGTCACTTAACGATAAAATATATATTTCTGCAGTTCATCCGCTACTTCATTACCTAATTAATTACAGACATAAAATATATTTAGTTCATTCGGTAAGCCTTAACCCAAAGGTCTGGGCTCAAGTGTGTTTATTGAACTCGGTACCATGCGAATACAGTCACAAATGGTGGCATATAATCTTTACCCAAGCCTGTTGGATTTGTTGTGAAAGTATGGACATGATTTCCTCCTGGTTCAGTTGGTCGAAAAGTCTTTTTTGCTGAATGGTTATAATCTGGAGATAAAACATCATTGCCAGCTTCATATTCTGAGTTGTATAATGGGTGGTCTCTTAATGAGTGGATATGGTCACCAGAAAAGTTTGTAGTTCCTGTATGAGTGTGTGGTGGAAGGTTTGCTTCTTTAATTTTCTTCGAACCTCCTGTTTGCTTTGAATATCTAGCACAGTATAAGAATTTATCTACAATCTGCTTCCACATACCAAAACCTAAAACTTCTGAAGGATTTGTTGAGTTCATTGACGTATAAATAGAACCAACAGGATATAATGTTTGAAGTATTTCATTTTTCATGCTTGTAATCACATCATTTACTTCCGACTTCTTTGCATAATTTTCATCAACATAAGTTTTATCTGCTTTAAGGTCTAAACATCCCGAAACCCATTCTGTATCAGCTTTAACTTTAAAAGTCTCCAATGTCCATTCATGATACCATTCAACCTTTTCTTTAATTTCATTATCTTTTTCATCAACATAAACCAAATTTGCCTTCTTATTTAACTCAGTATTAACGTATTCCTTATCTGCTTTCTTATTTAACTCACTATCCACATATTCCTTATCTGCTTTCTTCATTATGTCGTTTAAGAAACCTTCTATGAATTCCTCATTTAAATTAAATCTTCCAACCTTCAAAACTTTAGGAAATGCATTTAATGCGTAATATCTCTGTTCTTCTGGTGGAATTGATGTTATATCATCCGTTATTCCTTTAATTTTTGAATTCATAAATAAAATTTCTTTTATATTTGATATCACTGCACCACCTTTGCAAACGAATTCGAAATGTTCATTTTTCAATACTATCTCCAAATCTCCATATTTCAACCTTTGCGTTTGTTCTGCCGTCTTTGAATTATATGCATATATGGCGTATGTAATGGTCTGAAGGACCTGGGTGTTTTGTGCCTTAAGTTGTTGTGGTTGCTGTTGTTTAATCATTTATTATGATTTAAAAATAAATATTTAATCTGTTATCTCATCAGCTATTTTTTCTATTTGAAATTGCCATAATATTTCATTCATGAATTCTAAATCACAATCAAATAGGTCAGTTATTCTAAATTTAATATTTGATAAATCTTTTGAATGAAGAATAAATGAATTCCCGGATAATTGAAACGGATATGATAAAGAAAATGTGTTTAAGTTGATGGATAAAATGTTTTGTATTGATGGGTAAGAGTTAGGGTCTAATGTTTGATGTGAAAATCTCATTGGGGTATTAACTTTATCACATTTGATTAAAATGAAATTGGAACCAGTGTCAGAATACAAAACATCCCCAACATCTTTTTCAAAATTTAATATTCCCAACAATGAACGAAGATGAGGAGTACAAAATTTAATTTTCAGCGGGAATTTAATAAGGTTATTTATTTCATCAAGTTCAAAAAGTTTATCAGGTTTTGATTTAAAATTTTCTTCATACCATACGATAAATGATTCATTTAAATAACTTAAAATCATGTTAATATCCCATTTCGCTATCACATTATTTATATACATATCATACGTTTTTTCAAGGTCATCTTTAATAAATGATATATAATCTGAAGGGTCTAAAAGAATGGGATTAAATTTACCACTCACAGAAACGAGAGTAACATTATAAATTCCGCTAACTGTTAAATTTAATTCACAGCTATTATTCGAAATAATATTGATAATTGACATTTTTATTACGATTAAAAATATGGTAAAGCGTTATTTTCCGGTGATAAATAAAACTAGAATAAGATTACCTCAAGAATTCATAAATTCAACGAATAAGAAATTCATTCATGTTATAAATTTTAGTGTTTTCAGAAAATATGAGTCAGTGTCATATTCATCAACAGGTTATATTTCACTTCATTCAAATTTAGTTCAATCAAACCCATATAATGACCATTTCATAAGATTTTCAGATGGTATTAAAAATGTAATTGATAGATTAAAATATGAACAGATTGACAACATCGAATTTTTGGAATTTTGGTTTAAATATCCTGATGGAAAAAAGATTGAAGTTAAAGATAAAGCTGATACTATAACAAAAACAATTACAATGACCGATCCAGATAGTGGGGAACAAAAAGAAATAAAACAAACGATAGAAACTGGTGAAAGGTCAATTATTATTGATTATGATTCAAAGGATTATTATTCGATAATGTTAATGCTTGAATATTAAATAGCCTTAACAAAGAATTTTTCAAGTGATATTTTATATTCATCAACTATTTTATTATAAATATCATTATATGTTAAATGAAGTTCAGTTGTTGTTCCATTCTTTGATATCTTAATTGTGCTAATATCCTTTATAGGATTTATTTTTGCAACTGTTCCGCAGCATGAAACCTCATCATCTATGAAAAATTGAATCTTAACGTCTGAATCTTGAACATCACAAAGAATGGCGATAATGTGAATTAATGATTCATAAGGTAAAATAATTAAACCGGATTGGTCAATTAAATTTATTATTGAATCATAATTATTAATTATTATATCACGGTAAATTTTCATTAATTCAGAATTAATGTCTATTTTATATGGGTTCTCGATGTTTGATGAAAGAGGTGGGGGTATGTTGGATAAGTGGGAATTTCAACAGGTTCTTTACCGGGTTCAGATAAAATGATTGGGTCTCCATTCTCATGGTTTTCTTCATTCTCATTCTTCGGTAAGTCACGAATTAATAAATTTGGTTGAGTTGCTGACCTTGTTAATTCAGGGCTAACATTAACTTTAACATTTTGAATAATTCGTGATTTATCATCATTTACGTTATAACCAACCGTAATCTCTGCTTTTGCGTTAGTGTTCTTTTGACTAGTGAAACGTCTTCTCATTTATAATCGAATAAAAAAAATATTTAAACTTTTATTTTGCTGGAACTTTTGAATCTATTATTCCCTGTATTTGTTCATGAAGTTGATTTTTAGCTGTTTCATCGAAATTAATAGACCGAATATATTCATTAATTGCATTCTTATAATCATCTGATTTCTCAAATTTTCTTTTATCTGATTCCTTAACTAAATCATAAGTTAAACCTCGTTGCTGATATAATGGTTTCTTAATTAAATCTTTGAATGCTTGAGATAAAGCACCTGATGCAATTCTTGCTACTATAATTGGTTGGAATTGCTGTTTAAGTTCATCTTTAACATTTGCGAAAACTGGATCGAATAAAGCAACTTTAAAGAATTTCTTAGCTGAAATTTCAGGTCTAATATTTGCATATTGACCATCAAACTGGTTAGAATATCGTGGTAATCCATCCGGTCCCTCTTCAACAGCATTTAATTCTTCATTGAAATAAGAATATGGATTATGACGGTATGAATACATTGGACCATTTTCACCTTCTCCAATGTGTTGTTTAACAGCTTTTCCATTTTCATCAAATTGCATAGGATAACGTTCATTATATGCTTTACGTTTAGGATAATCAGTTATAGTTAATTTGTAACCATTTATGACTTTAATATTACCTTGACCATCAGTAACGAAAACTTCATTTATACCATCAGGTTTTCCATTTGGACCCGTAATGTCTGCTTCGTGTGCTTCCCAATTTGGACCATGACGTTTGGCATATGCTTGAGCTTCTGGTAATGTTAAAACGTTTCTCATTTGTTTAACATCTTTTTGAAGACCAGCAACAATATGAACTAATTCTTTCATTCCATCAGGAACTTTCATAGTTCTATTATATGCACCCTTTTTGTTTGTCCCTTGTTTTAATGGAACCTGTAGAAGATTTGCTATTTCTGTCATGTTTAATTATAAATAAAAAATAAAAATTAATTATAAAAAGTTAATCAAATTTAACACTTCCTTTATTTAAATCAACTATTATTTTTCCATGTTCACCTAATTGCTGATATTGTGTGTAAAGTTCATTAATGCTCATTGGTAAATTCACTTGATAAAGCATAACGTTCAACTGTTGACGACTAAACCCACTGAAAATGAAAAGGGTTGATAGATTTGATTTAATGTTTGTGCTTAATGCTTTGAAGTATTAAACAGCCATAAAGAATGAACACTGAATGTGTCGACATTGAGTTAATAACTGATTAAAATATGATTTCTCATTTGTTATTAGTTTTGATTTCACCGCATCATCTAGAAAAATGAGTGAATGCAAAAATTCTCTATCAAAATTTGAAATAGAAAGTGTTTCAAATAATTCATCCCGTTGTTTATCAATAATTTTATCCTCTAATCCTTGCTTCTTGATTGTATTATATAATTCTTTATACATTAAAAAGTTTTTTAAATAATCTTCTGCTTCTTCTTGTGATAAATAAATAATTGGAATTTTGATTAAATGCTTTAAAGATTCAAATGTATCATCTGAAGGTGAACCTGAACGGTTGATATAAATTAACACATGTGAATGGGGGAAGTGTTAGCAATAATGATAATTTGTTTTAATATCGTTAATGTTTTACCTTTATTTTGTTTACCAATTGCTGCAGTGATTGAATTTAAGTAACATTCAGAATATGGAATTTTCATTAATTTTTCCTTAGATAGAGCATTTCTATTATCACTCAATGCTTCATTAATCATATCATCTACGTATGTATTATATACTCCTGCTAATTCTTCATAAGGGGTGGATGAATTTAAATCCATTTAATCAAAAATAAATTTATAATTTTAAACATTTCTATTCATCAATATTTCATCATATGAACTTCTATACTGTGGTGGTGTACCTGTTGGATGATATTTCAAACCTTCATCCGGTGTCCATGTCCAATACGTAGTCCTAGTAAACCAAACCTGAGGAGGATTTGTCACCTTTGAACAGTAAGTGTCATTTTCACCCTGAATGATTGGATAAGCTTTCACTTGTACTGTAACTTGTGAGTTGAAAGTTTCTAATCCATCAAAGAATATACCCGCTCCATCACGTTGAACTGGAATAGTGCATAAGAATGAAGTTTGGTCTTTCCATGTTCTAGCTAATGGCGTGCCATCATCTGCATTCAGTGGTCTAGTTAATGAGTCCTCGTATTCTTCTGTGCATTCATTCACTCCATCTAAATCAGAAGCTTGAAGCATGCGTGTAAAGAATATGTCACCCACTGTGGACATCGCTTGATCGGGGAAGTTTCTGGAATCTATAGTGACCTGAAGACCTCGAAGCATTGGATTTTCTAAAACCGTTCTTTGCATTGCATTCTTCGGAAATGTTAACACAACATCTGTAACATTATGAAGAGCGTATGAGAAATCTGAGCTGATACCTTCAGGAGTGATGCAACCTCCATTTAGTGAACGAACGTCAATATGTTGAGCTGGAATCATGAATGGATCTTCCTTACTGAATAAACGTGGTATTGCTTTAACTGATTCTTCAATTAAACCGTATCCTGGTGTAATGCATTTATCCTCTAAAACTTCCATCTTTGTGCATGAAATAATAACCTCATCAACTGTTGCGTCAGCAGATGTAGCGGCTAAGCTTGTAATTAATTTGGCAGGAAGTCCGATTTGTTGGAATTTGCGATCATATTTATAAACATGATTCATAATCTTTTCATAATTTTCATCAGTTATCTTTTCATAAACGTAATTTTGTAAATCAGCAACTCTTAACGGGTCAACCTGACAAAATACTAAAGTATCCCTGAAAACATAATATTTAAGAATGATATCACCAAATGATTTAGGATAATCATCGAACGCTTGAAATGCTAACAAATCATTTACCGGAATAATCATATCAAAAGTGATATCAACTTCTTCATTTGCGTTCTTGAAAACTTCTGAAGGGTCAATATATTTACCACATACTGAGTTATCATATTTTTGAACATTATTATATAACGAATGAACAAACTTTTTAACTTTCCTTTCTGATTTTGGTTTATATGTTGCAAATGCGAAAGATTCACGGGCGCAATCCATCTGAAGATAACCGGCATCACCTC